AATTGAATAACAATCGAACTGAAGAAGCACGTGTACCAAGTGTGCCTGTCGATGGTGTTCCATCTGCTAATAATATGAGATCAAATACATTACCACAAATGTCACAGATACAACAACAACAACAACAACAACAACAACAAGTGCCTGATTCAGCAGTAAACAAATCAAATTCATTAAGAGCAAAACAAACAGTAACATTGGCAACGACGAGAACACATGTTGAAACCCCCACGGATGAAAGTAGTGTAGCGTCACTAGATTTTCCAGCAGATATGGATGTACCGGGTTCATGGAAGTTTCGTTCACTTGATGGTAATGTACATCGCGTAACACGTGGTAGACATCGAGCTCCATTGCCTAACTCTTTCATTGATCCAACTGGTATTCACAGTGATACAGAAATTGTTCGATCTGCCAGCTTTCGTCATATGCAACATCAACCAACACTACTTCAGAATTCAAGAATATATGGCTCCATACCAGCAATAAGCAAGTAAGCATAGATGTTCGTTTTCATTTCCCCTATTTATTAACATCCTTATTCCTTTAGAACGTATGACTCAATGCGTAATGGTGTTCAATTTAACATGACTCGTATGAGTGAAAAAGATGCCCAAAAAGTAGCTTCGTTTTATCAAAGTATCGGTACACTTGTTTATGTTGGCCGTTCAATAGCAACATTATATACAAGCGATTTTAATTCAATGGCAAATTTAAAAGATTGGAGAAAATTGTACACTGGTGAGTAAAATTTGGATGTTTCAAAAACTAGTATCTATTTTTTGTTAATTTTCTTAAGGTATCCCAGTTTGGTTATTTAACACTGGCATGAATCCAAAACGTGGTCGAAGTATTCGATTAATAATTAGTGAAATTGGAAGTTCGTTTACTCTCTGGGATACAATTGTAAATGGTGCGTCAGATGTTCGTCTACCGAAAGAACGTCATATAACATTAAAATCATTAGAAAAAGGCACTGTTCTAGCATTAAAATTTGATGATATGAGTGCAACAGAAGAATTTCACAATTATTTTAGTCGTTTATCATCTGATCCAAGAAATCAAGATTTATTCGATGTATTTAATCCAAAACGTCGTTTACCAATATTTCCATTAAGAAAGAAAAAAGTGAAAAAATCGGCTATTTCAAAACCCACAGAATTTAATCATATCACAAAGGTGGATGAAAATGATCGAGAAAGTTTGTACACTTATTCTGTTCTTGTTGAAGATCATTAAGTTCTTTTCATTTCTATAATACATGCAAATTTGTTACCATACAATATCCGTTTTTATCTACATTTTTATTTCTTTTTCTTTTTTTTACCATTCTTTTTTTTTTACTCAAAGTTATATAAATTTACATAAAGTATGTATTTTGTACAGGGCATTTTCAGTAACAGTATCACATTAGTCGTGTGTGTAAGCGTGTATGTTTCCATATTCGATAAAACAAAAAAAGAATTATTAGTTTAAGTCAATGTTTTGTCTTTTTCATGTTTTTTCTTCAACGATAAAAGATCGAAAAAGTTTATGAAATAAATTCAAGATTTTTGATAGATTTCTTTCACAATTTATCAAGAAATACTTGTTCAGATGAGTTTTGATAATATTAACTATAATGTAGTAATTTTAACTGATTGAAAAGATCCAAGGTGAAATTATTATTGTTTCCGTTATTTTTCAGTTTTTGACTCTTAAGTTACTCAAGGCAAATTGTTTATAGAATGTTGTCTTTGTAGAGAATTGTCGAGTGCAAAAACAATGTTAGAAAGCAAAAACAAACAGAAAAACGAATAATTCTTTTGTTTTCTTTTCAAGGTGAATAATTAGTCGTCTCTCTTTCTCTCTCTCTTTCTCTTACAGATGCCTCATTATTTAATATTGAGAATTTTAACGTATATCGATGTACAGAAAACACGCTTATACGCAATCTACAAAAAATGAGATACCAAGATACTCTTTTCTTTCGCTTAGCATAGTTTTATCAACTGTGATCACTAAGAAGTTGACTTATTACTTTCAATTAGAACAAAATAAATCAATGCGAGAATAAGACAATATACCAAGCTCATCTAGGGAAAGTCGGTACCAGTATTTCAGAATACGGTCTCTTATTGAATTTTAATGTCAACAGGAATACTCCGACTTTCAAAGAGTTTTTTTTCTGTCAAAAATTTCTTACCAAAAATATCTTAACCTTATTTATTTAATCGTCCTTACAACTTGTGCTTAGCATTACTGCTCTCTCGTTTTATCTTGTGAACTGTTCTTTTTTTTTTACATTTTCAAACTCATCCTTGTTCTATTTCGTAGATGATTAGTACGTAAAAAGTGAACTTTGTCTTTTCTAATCTTGTTTCTTGTTGTTGTAATGATTAGAGGTAGTATTTACGTGTTTAACCTTATAAAAACTTGTCTTTTTATCAATCAAAGAACCCAATTATTTTATAAAAACGTCATTTTGAACTTATCATTTGAGGGTTATATTAAATAAAAAGTAGCTTTTAAGCCGATATACTTGCATTTAATATACTGCAATTCTATGTTAGAACAACTTGAAAAATAGTGGATATTAAAGATTTATCATTTAGCGTCCTCAGAGCCTTATGTAAATTCTTTGAAAATCGACTTTCAGACATCAATTAGATCTATAAAAAATAACAGTATTCACATGCAACTTCATATATTGATATCATTTCAGTAAAAGTTCGACGCTTATTAAACAAAAATGTTTTCATCAAATTTCGATTACCAACACAGTTTGATAGCGGAGTTTTAATAAAACTATGTCAATCGTTTGCTGTTCTCCGCATCCATTGAATTGTAATTCAAAGTTCATTAGCAGAGATAATGTCTATATCTTCAAAATGACGTCAGTTAATAAGACAAAAAGAAAAGCCAGGTTTTTTTATTTTTTATGGATTTTACCTTTGAAAGAATTCAGTGTGAAACTATTTTATCGTTTTTCTATCGTTTGTTGGAAATATATATGTTTCCCTATTTCTGTCATAATAAAGATAATTAGTTGTAAAAAAAGATGTATTTGTTGTAAAAATATCGTTATTTTTTTGTTGTCTGTCTGTTTTATTCTTCAATTTATACATTTATTAAGAACGATAAAAAGCATTGCCACACATTAAAAATTAGACCCTGGAGGAAAATCAAAAGAAAAAGAAGAGAAAAATGAGTTGGTCAATGTGCAAACATTGCCTGCAAGCACTTTTCTTAACAAATAAGTGATTATATATGTATAATAAGAAAAAAAGTGACTAAATACACATAATTATTCTATTGAACATTTTAGTAAGAATATTTTTAGAGAATATGCCATCGGATATACTTGTACATAAGATGTTGAACATGTCCAACGTTAAAATTATAAATTTGAAAATAGACTGTAAAAATAAATTCAAGGCCATTTATGATAAATAAGCAGTCGACTGTTCACAGACCCAAATTCCAGTTATGACTAACTAATCCTAAAATGTCTAAAAATAATTGTTTATATATTTAAGGAAACTGTCTATAGTGTATGAAACCTTATACTATTTAATTTGATTACAGAGAAAAAACGCATGAAATTATCGAAAGAAGTAAACATAGAAAGCTCACACACTTATATAATCAAATATTCATCGTCATAAGACATGTCTTAGATCGTGTTCTATGTAACACGTTTTACATGAATAAATTTAATTTCACGGTATCAATCTGCACTCATTAGTGTCTCAAATACCTTTATTCTGTTCCGCATAAACATTCTGATATGTTCAACAAATTTTATAAATAAGACCGATAATAACAAATCAATAAAAGTGACATAAATTTGTGTCACATCTAACAGCGATTAAAAATGATTTGATCATTTCTTGACTTTTATGATATTAATTTGATGAAGATGTTATCATTGCATTAGATAATTTAATTGTATGTATTTATTCCAAATAAAATCATTCTCATAGCACTTTTCATTCTCATTAATTCTGATTGATATTTCAATTCTTTTAATTTTATTATAGCTTGTGTATTCTTTCCATTCTTTGTTAACTCTTTAATATAAAGTTGTGGTGATAAATATGTCAACATCAATCAATGCCGACATGGTAATTGATGTACAAAAATGTTTCTGTGTAAAATGGACAAGCTTTATGAAAGAATGATTTATCATCTCTACCAGTTAATGTTTCTTAATCATGTTTCGGTGAAATGATCCTTTTAATATAACGATGGCACGTTTACTGATTGACGATGTTTAAAAGTAGTTTTAAATATCGCGTCTACTGTGGATGAAACATAAAATTTTCGTAAATAATTATCATAAGCTTCTAATTGGTACTAACAACATGATCAAATGAATCGAGTGAGGGAGTTGGAATATAGTAAAAGATAAAACTCTCTTGAAAACATCCTTAAGACATGCGATTTTCAACAGGAAACAAAGATTCCAATAACAGAATATGTACTGAGAATATGATGAGTATCAGAAACAATTCATTCATAAAAATATACTGTTAAACTACATACTATTCGAGAAAAAGCGCCATTTTCTTCGTCGTCTTCTTGATTCTGACGATGATGTTATTGACTTTATCTCAACTGCTGATTGCATTTTTCTATGTTATCTTTGTTTAAGGTTGTACCGTTGTTAGTAGTAGTCGTAGCATTTGATACTCCGACTGTCTTATTCTTTACTTTACTGAGCATAGTTTACTGGACATACATACTGAGAGTGGTTTGCCATCGGGATTTAAGAAGTGGACTAATAAAATAGTATTCGAATATTGTAGTGTATGCGCGACACGAAATATGATTGCGTCATATACTTCAATACGTCAATCTAATCTGTCAAACAATATGTGATGCATATCACTACTAAATGCCGTGTACAGTAGAGATGTGCAATGTGAACCGTACCCGATCCGAAGGTTGGATATGGGTATGAAGTTGTCGGATACGGGTAGAGCAGTTGCGGGGTCAATTTTTTTTAAATTACCCGAAAACCGAAAGGTTTTAGTAGAAAGTCACAAAATCTTAGTGAAAAAAATACAAGATTTTAGCTAAAATGCATGAAGTTTTAAAAGAGTTACTGAGAACGTAATGATAACTTGACATCTCTAGCCGAAAAACAAGTTTTTAATTGGACAACGAAAAGGAGAAAATTTTTAGGCATTTAGTCGGGTACAGGTCGGGTACGAATATAAAGTTCTCAGATCGGATACGGGTAGAAAAACGCTACCCGTGCACATCTCTAGCAGTATACTTTTATGGCGATTAGATAAATTTGTCAATAATCTTTCCCCTTCAAGTAAATCCTATACTTCCACACACGGATCCCCGGCTGTTATCGCTGATGTTTCATTTGAATAAACCAGAATGCATTCAGTTTGATGGCTATAATCAACGTATAAAACACTTGTACCAATGTATTTATCAAGTACTTTCATTATACAGTCATAACCACCACTAAACAATAAATTAATTCTATTGACATAGTGTTAACACACGAACATAATCTGTACGAATATTTAAAAATATTAAAAATGCTTTTCTGTTGCCATATCACATATTCGTACCGTTCGATAATTGAAATCAGTGATTACACAAATTCTGCCACTTGAAAAATATGTATGATGTACAGGGGAGCCTTGGTGCTCTTTACTTTTAATAAACATAAAAACTGTGAACATGTTTCAGAATCAAACATGCGAACGATCCTGTTGTTGGCACTAGTACATAACAAAATGCCATCAGAACGAAATATGCTGCAATAAGCGATTTCTTTAAATAAATAAAATAAACGTACTAATGTCAATACTGCGGATGCATATATTTGAACACGTGTTGAATCTGTTGTGGATATTTATTGTTCTTTAATTGGAACAATATCAATTTTTGTTATAGGATCATATTTACGGAATGTAAAAGGGTGACTTTCATTTCATTTAAGACTTGCCAATCAACATCATCCTCTGATAAAACACTATGATCATCATCTCATTCAAGGTAAAGTTGTTTAAAAATAGGCATCAATAATCGTCTTCGTCTTACTAAGACTGTTGCATGATGCAATTATAAAATTATTAATGTTACAAAATAAAAAGAAGCTAAAAAGTGTTCATTCATAGAGTAGAGTATTATCCTATTTATAATACGTTTTAAAAACTTTAAAAACATTTTTATGATGCTTCAAGCCAACGAGAGACGCCATTTCTCAGATTTTTCCCGAGTACTTGTATAGATTAATAATCAGTAATTACTTAATGGTGAAACTTTAAAGAATCAACTCGTTAGATATAGTACACCATAACTTCGATTAAACAAAAATTACGAAAAATGAAGGAGAGCTTGTGGTAACACATGGTCGACATCCAGACGGACATTTGGTAAAAAATCGAAAGTGCACTTTTCCAAATATAAATAGTGTCTACGGGCTATCTAATGGTATAAAAGAATTTTGCTCCAAGTGCTGAATTTTCGGTAAAAAAATATATGCAAGAAAAAGTCTGTGTAGTAGCGACCTCTGGTAAATATTTTTTATTGGACTAAGTCGATTTAAATTTGAAAACACTACATATTCGAATGCGCGAAAATGCACATATTTAGCTAAGTTAAGTTATAGGTTTTCCCCCAAACTCTGTTTTTTCAGGTAAAAACTATGTTCTCAGACCAGGATCACTTTTAAGAAAAAGTAATGAAACACTTCCAAGTGATCAGTCAAGAATCATGCGTAATACAATCAGTCTTGGATAGAAAAAATATTCATGAAAATCTTTTCCCATGAAGCAGCAAGACCGACTGTTCGAAAAAAATCATTTTTTCTGAAAACATTTATTTTTATAATCAAGAAGCTAATAATTTATGCACAAAAGTTCTGATGTCCGTCTGCTATTGGAAAAATGCCTGCTGTGTAACGTGTATGAATGAGTGCAGATCACACATTAAGTGGATCGACAGCGGGACAATCACATGCCTACCTGAAGTGTTTTTTCACGTTTTACCGGATGGTATCAGATCGATAAATATGACATTTGGTCTTAAATATGACATTTTGAATAAGACATTTGGTCATGCTGAGTGAGTTGAATGATATTATCTTTAAAGGTAATGTTTTTTGTTTTCTTCACGTTGACCAAAAATTTTATTTTGGTTTTCTCTAGATTATTGTGTAACCGAAATAAAACGAGAATACTTAAAATGACCCACATGTAAGCCATAGAAGATAGTTTTTAAACTTGCAGAATCAATAGAAAGTAACCAGTAAGTTCAAACAAAATATTTGTCTATATTATCAATAACTGTTTTTTCTGCCAAAGAATCATGAATACAATGAAATCATTTGCTAGTGACAACTATGCGGGTGTATTGCCAGAAATTATTCAGGCATTACTAGCCGCGAATACGGCACATGCACGTGCATATGGTTAGTGCCGCTTTAATATATTTGAACATTTCAATTGAATATTTCAATTTGATTTTTTTTATTTCTAGGAAATGATGAACTAACCACGGAAGCTAAAAATCTATTTAAACAAATATTTCAATGTGAAGTTGATGTTTTCTTTGTTTTTAACGGCACAGGAGCAAATGTGTTGAGTATTATGGCAACTACTCAATCGTACAGTTCCGTTTTGTGTTCCGATGTTTCTCACATAGTTACTGATGAATCAACGTCGTCGGAATCGGTTTCAGGTTGTCGGCTAGTACCAATCCAAAGTAATGAGCATGGTAAACTTGATCCAGCGGCAGTAGAAGAAAAATTAGGAAGAGTCGGTGATTGTCATGCTGCACAACCTAGCTTAATTTCTCTAACACAACCAACCGAATACGGAACAATTTATTCAATTGATGAGTTAAAACAAATGTCATTATTAGCGAAAAAACATGATCTCTATTTACACATTGACGGAGCACGGTTTTTTAACGCTTGTGCGTCATTGAATTGTGAATTGAAAGATCTAACCACAGATGTTGGTGTAGATATTTTATCACTTGGTGGCACAAAAATCGGTCTGATGTTTGGTGAGGCAGTGGTTGTTTTTAATAAAACATTAGCAAAACATATGATCTACAAACATAAACAATGTATGCAATTATTCAGCAAACAACGATTTATCGCTGCTCAATTTAACGAAATCTTTAAAAATGATTTATGGCGTAAAGCGGCGGTACATGCGAACCAAATGGTACAAATATTAGGAAAAAAACTTCTAAAATATTCGGCCTATATTAAAATTACAAAACCGATACAAACAAACGCCGTCTTTGCCGTGATGCCAAAAGAATGGATTGATCTACTATCGGAAAAATTTCCATTCTACGTATGGAACCCAATTATCAACGAAGTGCGTCTAATGTGTTCATTTGATACGACAGAAACAGATATAGAAGAATTTGTCAGTGTTATTGAGAAACTGTATGGGCTGGCATCAGGTCATTTATGAGCCATTTGTATCTTGTATTTGGATGTGTATTCTTTTAAGCAAAGGAATACTGGAAGTGGAGTTTTGCATCGTTATTAGAGATGTTAGTCGCGTCATTCATAGAAATGTTTTTTTCAATCTTGCAGTCGGACGATTTGTCGATAACCATCGTAAACACTTGCCTGACTTCATATTATCTTTAAAGGTAATGTTTTTTGTTTTCTTCACGTTGACCAAAAATTTTATTTTGGTTTTCTCTAGATTATTGTGTAACCGAAATAAAACGAGAATACTTAAAATGACCCACATGTAAGCCATAGAAGATAGTTTTTAAACTTGCAGAATCAATAGAAAGTAACCAGTAACCATCGGTACTGCCCGGAATTTTGTCATTATGAACAAGTAGAACACGAATTTGAATCTAGTTTTCCACTTTCTTTTTTTTGTTGAGCATTTGTAAGCGCAGAGATGCTCCCGATTGAAAGAGATTTGTCTCAAGTCGTCATTCAAATTTCGACGAGTCTATATGATCTAGAAGAAAGTTTAATCTGAAAACAAAAATCAAGTGTTTTGAACTTTTTGGTGTTTCTTATATGTAATGACGGATGCAAAATAAAATGGTGAATGTATAAAAACGGTTATCATGCGGTATTTTTCTGTACCACGATCTAATAAAGTACCGCTGGTTAACCGCGCAGTATGCTGAGTGGTGCGGTTAACGGACGGTATTTTAAAAAAAAGCTCGACATGGGCACTCAATCAAGAGAATTTCTGCTTAGAACTAAGTTGTGATACTAACATAATCACTGAATGTTGATAAAGAAATTATTCTTCAATTAGTCAATGCTTGAAAGTATGGCAAAATCGTCGAATCCTCTGATTTGAGGAGTTTTACGTCTATAGTGGCTATCAAAATCAATGTTTTGCTACGCATCACGATTTATTGAATATTTCTCTGTTTTTTTTGAAAGTAAGAAAGTTGGCAAAGTAAAATGAGCTGTCGTATAGAAAAACTACTTTCAAGACGGCTATTGTAACCGATGTTATATTAGTTGTTGACCCCTAGCAAATCATTAAGACCCGAACGATGATCGTTTCATAAATCAAATAATCATTAGAATCAATAGCATGAACAAAAACGAGTGTATACAAATTCATAAATATTCGTCCATGTAGTTTCAGCTGTATCACCCGGTCTTACTGCTATCCTAATGGCACCAAGATATCAATAATCCGTCTTTTTATGTTCAACATTTGATGTGTTCAGTAAGGGTAGAAAAATACAAGTGCCACCTTTTTAAACATTACGGATAGATACTCTTATCTGATACGTTTCGTCAGTTTACTTTTGACATCAGTCAAATAAACAACTTTGAACAAAAAACTTTTTACAACAATTTTCACAAAACGTCTCAGATAAGAGTATCTATCTGCAATGTTTAAGGTGGCACTTTTATCTTTCTACCCTTATTGAAAATTTTCACCGTATGCTTTCCTTCGATTCGATGTATTACTATTGCTATTATCATTCTTTGGGAGAAAATGACAATCAATACTAATTTACTAAAGCCTTCTTCGTAACGATTATACATAATGAAAAAACAGTCATTAATTTAATACCTATAAATCTATGGGTGATTAAATTAATCATAGCGTGCTCATAGTCACATGTTACATTATTAAGTTTTTCTCCAAGACAGAAATCAATGATTTAGAATTCTAGTGTATACAGTTTTATTTATCTTAATTGTTTAACACTACGTTCATATAACTATTATTAAAAATCAAGTATAATGTACAATTGTGCAAATAGCAATGATCAAACACCAAATATACTGTCAGAATGTCAAAATCGACTAAATTATAAATCAAATTCTCAAGAATCAATTTTTAGAACTAAAATTATTTCTTTCTATGCTCTGCTCTTCGATCGGACAACATCATCAACACTAACCTTACTTGTATTTGACGTACATGTATAACTTGTTTTTTTCATGAATAATGTGTTTTGCTTTGAGACAGTTGCGCGGGATAGTCTTGTTTCGTTCCGTCCCATTGAGACGGGACAGAACGTGATAGATGTCAGAAAATTTCACGTACCAAAACGAAACGAGTCAAAGTCCGTACGGGACAGGATGGGACCTCAAAAAGCCTTGTCCCACGCATCTCTGTTGTGGACACAATCATATTGAACCCATTAAAGCTTTATCACAATAACACCATTCATCGCGAGTTTTAGATTCTCGTTTTTTAGCATATTGATAATCTTTGTAATTTAACACTAACTTTTCGCGTTTAGTAAGGGTGAAATTGTATTGCTACAAAGTATTTATAGATTTCTTTAGAATAGAGGATGTCTTTTTGTTAGTCATCCAACATAATTTTTAGTTGTAATTTTAACAATAGTTTAGCTGACAGGAAAATATCATAAGCATTATTTTCATACGACATGAAATTAAAGCAGTTTGCATATTGATACGGAAATGCTATACGTCAATCCTACCATATTATACTGTTTTAGTCGATTGTATTCTAATATATTATTTTTTAATGTTTTTGATCTTTTTTACGAAATTTATCAAAGAAAGACGACGAATTAAAAAAGTGAATATGGAAAAAAATTGAGACTAAATTGAGGATTGATGTTTTCTCTCGATTTCTGTCAATTGCGAGGGACAACAAGCCCTAGAAAATCTTCAAATAGCCTGAACTGCCTGCAAATTTTTCTTAATAAATCTAACAACCGTCAATACCTCGAGAAACCAATTCAACGTCAGTTCACTGGGTTGGTCATCTAAACATTCTGTCTTTACTTTTCGCTTGTATAACGCGTTGATATTCATTTTTCGATATCTCTATATCGACGAGTTTCTTTGATTAATTTGAGTGGATTAGATTCGTAATTGAAAGAGCAAGCTGTCTAAGCTAAAACGATACCATTCAAATGTCTCCTTCTCAACAAAAATCTTCTCATTGTGTTAAGTTTGAAACATTTTGAATTTGTTTTTTTTATAATGTACGTTCTTGTTTATTTAGCTAAATAGTATAAAAATATAAATGAGATTAGATAATACTTAAAAAAAGACAGTCGTTAATAATAAAAAATACAGGTGCACTAAACTCGCTAAATAAAGAAATAATGAATGAGTAAAAATACTATATATGCTGCAAATAAAAATAAAGAATAAAAGTGATCACAGTTATTCCGAGACTAGATGAAAAATTATATATATAAATATATCGATAAAAAAAATATATGAAACGTTATCTGACAGAATAAATATCTCTGAGAACAAAACAAGGATGAAAAAAAAAGAGAAGAAAATGAAAGATAAATAAAGATATTTGATTAATAATTAATAAAATAGAGAGATTAAGAAAAGAAACAGTATAGAGACGAGACAGAGATTAATTGAAACAGTATTTGACAACTTTCATAACAAACCATTGAAAAAAAATAATAATAAAAATGAACAACTAACAAAACAATATACTTTAGAATTAAATAAATTTATTAATATATTCATATTGTATTTAATGAAGTCCTATACAACGGACACAAAGATAAGATCATATTAGATCATTTTCTTGTATCAGACCAATTTTCACCAAATTTGATATAATTTAATGAACAAATATTTGTATCAATATTCAATTGTGTCCAATAGACTGCATTATGATTAGTTGTTGTTGTTCTTTGTTGTAACATTTCTTGGATGATTTCAGAACGATATTGTTGTTTATGTGTCGGTACAAATGGACTTGATGAATTTGTAATATCAGATGAAAATGTTGCTTGATAAAAATCACAAATCAAATCTTCATCATTAATTAAATTACAATTTTCTACATCATTTAGCCAATCACGTGTTTGAATAATTAATTCACCAAAGGCACGTCGATTTTTTTTTTCGGTGAATGCACATTGACCCAAATTAAGAACCATAATCAAAATTCGAAGAATACATTTGACTAATTTTGGATTCATGGCTTTAAAACTTCTCGATTTTAAATCCAAACGATCGATAGTCCATCCAAGCATATACAAATAATAAAATGTTGATACAAATAAACAACATCGTTCATTAATTAAACTATCGTTATGATCGTAAAATAGTATATCATCGAGATCTTGAAATGTCATTGTACCTGTTGGATAAGAAAGATGTAAAAACCGTTATATATAATACTGTAGAATTCTAAAAGATTTCTTATGAATTGATTCTCTCTTTTTAAGATCTAAAGCGCGCAATGTGAAAATAGTCTAACTAGAGAATTTATCAGAGATCGAGTCTCCTTTTTGTCTGTGCGCACGGAAAAAAAGTGAAATATTGACAATTGTACGAAGCTTTTTACGGTTGATGGAAAATTTTCCAAACTCACGAGTGAATTCTAGACTTCCGGGTTTTGTACAGAATGTTTAAAAAAAAGGAAAAAGAAAAGCTTACCACTTGAAAGTAGATCATCTGTTGAGATCTAGAACACTGATAGCAGCGTTGAAAGCTAAAATTACCTCTCTTTTTTGGCGAGTTTATATTTTGATGTGAAATCTCAATATAGGTTAACTAACAAATCTGACTGAAAGCAAAGACCATCATACAGAAAAAAGAATGTTCTTATGACAGATATTTCGCCAATGTTAGTCTGGCAAAATATCTGCTAGAACAAGAGAATGTCGTAATATCGAGAGTAGATAAATTGTCTACTGAGCGAAACCGTTTATTCAAATTAGTATTCATTCATTCCCATGTTTTCTGTTCTAAATAAATTGCAAAAAATAATACTTTTTTCTCAACCAACAGCTCTAATAGTCTTTCTCAAATACGGCAAAGATTGAATCTAGAAGTTTAAGAGAAAATTATTGTATAAAACAAAAATGATGGATATATATTTACCGTTTAATGGTACGACATTGTCATATGGTTTTGGATCAATGTGAGTTAACGCCACCGACAAACATTCAATTGTTGAAAATTTTATCAGTAACTGAAGAGCACTTTTTCGTTGTTGTAGATCTTTGAGATAGTAATCATCTATACCATTTTCTAATAGATATCTCAATAATTTATGTGGCTCAATTCGAATACCGTTATAATGATCACCATCGACAACATTCAATGAACTTGTGAGATTTTGACATAATTTAACGAATACACGATTATCAGTACAACGTTGTTGATTTTGTTGTTCGGCAAGTTCATCGAGTCTTTCAATTACTTTCATAACACGTAAATTTTCAACAAAGAATCGTATAATAGCCATATTTGAATAAGTATTTAATTTAATCGAGTTCAAATAATAATCAAAGGCATACGGTAAACGTTTTGCAAATTCATCACGATCATTAACATACATATATGGAACCACAAGGTGTAATAATTCCAATGCATATAAATGTCGTAATATAAGTTCCAAAATTTGTGTATCAAAATACATTTCAACACGATGTGCACCATATAATTTGAACATATTTTTTAAAAATTCATCTTCCTGACGATATTCACCAATAATTGTACGTAATATTTTTTCTTCATCTTCAATATTTGAACATTCTTCAAAACACCTTGTAATAATATCCAAATAACGATGATTGTACGCTGGTATCAACATACAACCATGAGAAGACAAACATCGACATTTAGAAGGACTAAATATAAAAATAATTGTACTCACATTATGGAGATGAGTTTGAATCAGATTATGCAAAAATTTAAGAAAATTTCTTCTTCGAAATATATCCCTTATTCTATCCAAAAATTATGAACTAACCATTCAACATTGCTGTCACACGTCTTTTCTAATTGTCGATTTTTCGATGAATTTTCAAAAACATTTATAATTTCAGTTACAACCATTATTAAAAATTAATTAATTAATCAATCAAATTTGTTTATCGTCAGTTTTGGAACAAGAGATATAACTAGAACAAGGTGAAAATATAACATTTTGAAACATGAAATAAAAATACGAGAAAAAATTTAAATCAAAAACAATTACAATAAGCAATTTTTCTACTTGAACAGAGATGTTAACCGATCCACTGGAGCAAGAATGTCATACCACTATCGTTGGCAACTTTTTACAGAAAAAAAGTGCTACTTCGATGCAAAAGCTTTAAAAAAAACAGGATTTTTTTCAAAGAAATTAAATTTTTTATCAGATTCACGAAACCGTCATCGCCGACTGGACAATATACTTACTTATAAAAAGTATAGTAAATGTTACACCAACAAGTTCGACATCTTTCAAGTACAATGACTTTTCTTTCACATTTGTTTAATAAAATAATAATCGTCTCAGAAATTCTATCGAAATATACACGGCTATTCTTTACATAGGAGAATTAACCTCCCTTAGAAGTTTTTTAAATCGTACGGATGAACAGGTCGAGAAAACGAGCTTTAGATACAAGTAATCAAGATTATTCAAGTCTGTCACAGAAGAATAATTGAATATCGTACGTTTCTTACATACGCTAACTTAAATAAAATATATTTTTAGACAAAAAAGAAGAATCAGTCAATAAACAAGAAACTATTATGAGTCATCAGCGTTATTTATTTTGACGAGACAAATAAATCGAGCTACAAACGGTATTAAATATAGAATATTCGCAAAATAAAATAAAAAAACAACACGCACACTAACAAATTAATTCTGAAACCTCTACACCTTTGATAAAAAAAAACGGCGTGTTCCAATTAAACAATAAAAAACAACAACTAGACACCGCTATTATATTTTCGATTTACACAACAAACAAAAAAAGAGATAAAAAAGTTCTTTATATTGCAGCAGAAAAACCACCGACACTGTTTCATACCCGGAAAAATGATAGGCAATTTTTCGAGATATATATATCTCGTTTGATATTATCAAAATAAAACATAAGATCAAAAACATGATATGTAAATCAAAGAGACATCTAAAGATAAGTTAAGTAAAAAAAAAATTAGCTCAAATATTCAAGCAAGTATTTGACCATATTCGTCAGTTTTTACCTTCCTTCATTCTATTCTCACCTAATTAAATATCACGACTTTAAAATCGAAATCTTGCACTAGAAAAATTATCGTTTTGTATTCAATGTTCTCACTAATTCAAGCATTTCTTGTGCGAGATTATATTGAGAATAATTTTGAGGTAGATAGCAAAATATTTTTGTTAAAATATTATTAATTGAAAATAATGAACACGATTTAACTGGATAATCAACTAAACCATTGAGTGATGCTAGCCAGGTTTTTAATGTCGATGATAATTTTGCTTTTAGTTCTAAAGATGTATAGGACATTTTTATTTGTGGTGATTTTTCATTTGTTGTTGTTTTTGTCGTTGTATTATCAATAACATGTTTTAATCTTAAACCGGCAATTATCAATAACTGAGATGCTAATGATTGCTTTTCATTAATTCTATATTCTTCATGTGATGCTATTTCATCGTAACCATATGCATACAATAAACAAATGTAATGTCGACGAATATATTCGCTGTCAATGAGCATATCTGTAGAAAATTGTAAAATTCGCTGAATATTTGCTTCAAATGTTTTTGATACAATATCACCACCCACAGAATTATCATCGAATGGTGTTTCTTTTTCAAACACTCCATTTAGTAAGCGTATAAAAAATAATTTTCGAATATTTGAGACACTGTTATCGACATCGTCAGTTATTAATGGATGTGTATGTAAATCAGTAAAAAATGCATTTATACCTAAATAAAAACGTGTACGATATTTACTCATTTTAGATTGTATTCAGCCACTCAAACAAAAATGCTCCCGTCAGAATATCTAAATGTTTTAGCTGATGTATCGATCAATATTTTTTAATCATTTATCTAGATGCTCTAGATGAAGAATCGAGTTAGCTAACTGCATTGCTCGATATATAACCGAATACAACTGGGATACACCAAATGTAAATCGATGGAAATGTCAGCTCGTGGACAATGTTATCTAGTTGCATGGAGAGAAACATTTATTTGTGTCTAGATACATCGATCAGTGAACGGACTACCGAGATACATTTGGCGATGATCGATACTTTTTTTATGCTTGGTAATAACTACCTTTAGTATCGAACATGGACATAGGTTTGATAGATTTCATATGGTAATACATAATGTAATATAATAAACGAATTAATTTATAATGATGCCAAACTAAATGTGGATTGACTTGTTTCTGTTCCATAATGAGTTCAATGACAGATAATATTGACTGCTGATCAGTAGATGCCACTGGTGGCTTTAGCAAATTCGGACGAAACAAGACTGCTGATAGAAATCGTTGAGATGATTTAACAGAATCTAGATAATAATAAGGAATAAAATTAGTCGACTGATCAAACATTTGCTTTTATTAGCAGCAATCCTTTTTTCTCCGTCTTGATCAGTACAGTAGCCTCTAATTGAGATAAAAACGAACTTATTAGAGATAATCATAAACACAGTCGCGTAAGGTTTTTTTATCTGTTTCAGAAAAACAAATCCACAAACCCTATATTCCTAGATGGAAAAAGAGCAAAAATCTATGAACCGCAAGCCTTGTGTCCTGTGGAAAACTGGGAAAGCCGCAATGAGAAAAAATCAGACTTCAGACTATTGGACTTTAATAGACTTAGGTCGAATTTTAAAATCTATTATATATACTATATAGATGGGCTTTGAAACTTCATAATTGGGATTTAAGTCTGCTTTTTTTCCTTCGAAAGTCGGCAAACTTATGCTGAAGATCTACACATATGCATGAAAACCATAAAGAAAAATCATAACTCATTTCGTCTAAAACTAACCAATGCGCTGTGTACGATTCCTAGTAGAATCATATTTTTCCTTTAGAAAAACATTAGTCTTGGATTTTTCTAATCATGTACCTGTACGTTGTTGTAACCATGCATCATCAACATTGAAGATGGGTATTTCATTCAATGGATTATAAATTGACTCAATAAATCGATCATAAAATTGAATTAATAAGTGAAGATAGACAATTAATTCTTTATCAGTCATTCGTAATTCTTTATAACATAAACGTTCTTTCGGTATTTTGCCAACTTTTTCTATCAGTTGTGTTAACGTTGTTATTTTTGAACGAAAATACATATGCCATATCAAGGTAGCTAAATTTTGTTTAACCACTGATATTTGTATGCTGTCATAGTAGTCTAATAATAAATGGAATAATGTGGATGACGCAGAAGACGCACTTAAATCATTATTGTCATTTAACGTTTTATTCCATAATTGGATACATTCCCAACAACAATAGACTAATAAAACGGTTGGTTCGAATGTATGAGGTAAAAATTGTCTACATAAGGAGAGATTAACTAAAATAAAGAACAAAAAAGACTTTACAAACTATATTGCTTCTTCAACGAAAAAATTTATGAAATTAACCAGTTCTCAGAATTACTCAGACTACTAACTGTAACAAAGCAACTGACATATGATTCAAAATCTATCTTAAAGCCGATAATTGACATATTATACGAATATATCAACAAACAATGAGTGATTTACCTCGAATATGTTGTTCATAATTATCTTGATCAGTTGCAGTTATGTCTGTGATGTTCTCTTCACTTTCATTATCTTCATTTGTTGTTCTTGGTTTAACCAACCATTTTGGATTAATTTGATTTTTAACTAGATATTTTGCTATTAATTCACTCAAATATTCTTGTTGATAGCAAATAAACACATTGTCAACAGTCAAATTGATAATGGTATTATCTTCGTTTTCTTCATCAAATATTTCGTCGTCATTATTCACTCGGCTAGTTGGTTTGTTCACTGATAATAAATTTTTCACACATAATAAAGCTGATAGACGTTTTACAAGTAATTGAATTGTGACATCATCCTCTTCATCAGAACCCAAATGATTTTTTATGATCAACAAGACCAATAAACTTAATGGTAAATGTTGTGTCTGTTGAAATATCTCTAGGATAAACCATATGTTTTCTTCATCTTCTTCATTCTCATCCAAGTTTGTTTTAGTCAATAATGTACTGACTAATTGCTTTAAAGTTTTTAATGATTTTGGTAAATTTTGTTGTGATAATAATGCATAAATACATAACTGAATTAAATCAAGTGACTTTAAATGTGTTAATTGTAAATATTGTTGAAATTTTTCATCAGACCATTCGTTATCATTGTTGAACCATAATGAGAAAAAATATTGCCCAAGTAATACAAAGTCATTATAATCGATTGTTGGTTTTATTTCAAGATAGAATGGTGATTTCTCATTGACTGATGATCTTCGTCGAGTTGAAGATGTATCGCTTCGACCTGATTTGTCCGATGTTGATGTTTGACGTCGATAAGTAGAGGAAGCTGATATTGAAGATGATTGTTTTAGCATGGATAAAAATCGACCAAATGTTATAAATGATGGTTGTTTATTTGGAATATGAGTCTTTTGATTGTCAACATCATCAAAAAATCGTACTTTTTTATCCGGAATGGTATCAGATTGTGTATTTGATGATTTTTCATTTTTATAACATTTTTGTTCACACTGTTGATGATATTGTTCAAAGATGTTGTAATAAGTGTCTGTTTCAGTATTAGATAATGATAATTCGTTTTGAAATTCCTAGAACAACGTAAAAGTTTCAGTAGAAAAACAGGAGAGAAAAACCGTCAAATGTCACTGTGCAGAAGACAAATGAAAAAACTTAAGTCTACCCTGAAGATAATTTGAATCTCGAATGAGCACAAATAGTTCAGAATACTCTGCTGCTATAGAATAATGCTTTATTCGTTACAAGTGAGAATAGAGAACAGGATGCGGAGCAATTCAATGAAGAACAATCTTAATATGAGAAACGTCCTGTTTAACACTAGAATGTCCGGAAATTTTCATGACCTAGAACGCCCAAAGCGGTCATATTATTACTGTGCTAAACATCAAAGATGAATCTTAAAAATGAATATACAATCTTGTAGAGAATTAAATTGTCTATCGTTTGGTATAGTAAAGAATTTTTTATTATTGTATGCAGTTTGTTTTATTAGGGATAAAAATCACAAAACGGTCAAAATGACCGCTACGGGCGTTCTAGTGTTAAGGGAAAATCCAATTGCTGATGATGCTTACTTCTTTCGAGAACATCTCATTTGTCTCATTTGTCTTCTTTATAACCGTTGATATTGTTTTTATATATTCATTTACGGCGCTATAGATGTCGGATAATCTTAGACATATTTTGCAATAGTCATACAAATTGATTAATTCATTATCATGTAGTAATGTATCCATATTTGAATTCAAATAATCTTCGGTTTCTTGTAAAAATAAACGCATGGTTAATAAATTCACATAGTCTGACTGAAATAGTACGTCCAGTGCTTCTCGTTTCATTTCAAATGATATCAAGCGTTTAATCAATAGACGATAATCATTTTTGAATTGATCCGTATCACTCGTCGATTCCTTCAGTAAACGTCGTAATTGCCTTAATATCATAACATCATGAGCTCGTTGATTACTACGATCACTAGAAAAGAGAGGAAGAAATAAATAAAAATATTATTCAATAGTCAGATACAAACCTTAATATCAAATGAAATGGTACTTGTAGTCCTTTAATTTCTCCACTCTCTTCCAACAGTATACACTGTTTAAAATTATATTTCGATGATGATAATGTTTGAAACGTATTTGTCCAACCGAGCATGTAATGATCCAAATAAATCAGTCGACAACTTTTGGAAACATTGAAAGCAGCAACTCGAGTTCCTTGTTGACAGCCCCACACCTAATATACAAGAAATTGGTTAGACTTAAATTCAACCTACTATAAGCTCAAACTTACTTCAAGCAATTGTCGTCTTGGAGCGTGAATAACAAGAAATAAGGCGGCTTTTCTTGCTGAAAACTGTGCACTGCTATTAACATCTTCCGTTTCTTCAATTTGCATAAATCCGATTTCTGCATCACGATAACCTGTAAAAAGAAATGTTAATATTTGTTTTCTTTAGTTTTCTCATAATTTGCTCTACCTTTAAACATTCGAATAGCAATACCACGTGATATATCGTACAACACAACACGACCAAAACTATCTGTCAAAGCAGCCATATGTAATCCGGGAGAAACAATTATTTTTTCACCATGTCGTCTTAAATCGCGAAATCCAAATCTAAAAAAAGAAAATAAATTATCTTTGCTCTATTACTTATAATTAGGCACAGATTCACTCAATTCTTTTCCTTTACGTACCCACCTACTAAGAAGTTTTGTCTCCGGTTCTATTTTCGGTTTAGCATCTTCCGTTGCTGTTTGTTTTGTTGGTATCCAACGACTAGAAGAAATTATCACTTTTCGTCACTAACTGCTGCAAAACAAACAAAAAACGCGTACCTCACAGCAGAAAATAATGATGATTTTAGCCTGTCTGCTAACGCAAATGCCACTTCAGTCAAATGTGGTAGCTGAGATCCCTTAGAAGAAAAAAAGAGTGCGTTGACAAAGAAAGAAAAAGAAAGAAAATTCTTTACTTCAGCACAATAATAAAAATTGCAGTATGGACCAGCTCCAATAGTGATATATCGTGTAAAAAGTGGTGGAGTAGGACGAATGGTGGCTTGATAACCACCGGTCATTGATGCAGCACATAACTGGTCGAATCGATTGTCCGTCACTAACCCTAAAATTTAAAAATACATCATTGACAATGTAGCTTTTACATTCAATCATAATAGAGTATATCCGGAAAGTCTACTATTAGCTCTCTGCTACATTTAGCTAGGAACAGTGCGCTTCTTCTTGAATGATTCTGGTGAATAAATTGTTCATTGAGCATTTTCACTTATTATCAGTTGTCGTTACCTTCTGAAGTTATTTATAGACATCAAGAGGAGTCTATTCTATAAACAAATGTGGGTTTTCTCTACTTTTCTTGTCGGGATTTGATTTCTCAACAAAAATTGAGATAATGCATTATATGGGATTTTATTCTGTACAACTTACCGGCTGGTACGAAATCAAATACTTGATCTTGATCAGAGAAACCCCATTTTTTATAAGACAGTTGAGGTGATGTCGATGAAGTATTTGCTAAAAGACAAAAATCTGAATAATTTTTTTCGAGCTAAAATCATTTTACGAACCATTTTTTAGCACATGATCACGGCAAACTTTGAGCAACTGATGTAAACTAAATCCATCAATAACAACCAAAATGGATCGATACTGTATATAAAGTTCATCAGGCTGAAATACGAAGAGATTAATTGATAATATTTACTTACATAAATTTATATATCCTTACTTGTTCCGTTAGACCTCGTATTTTTGATGGAAATTGTGTATGACATTTCAATTGAGTGACGATATCATCATGAAATATTTGTGATAGAAGTAATAATCCATCCTATAAGATAAATGTGTAATTAAATTTATCAACGTACTATAGTCAGCAATCTTCTTTTACTTCTGTATACAATCGGACATAACCAGTTGTGAATCCAACAACGATACAAGTCCATTCTGGTAAATGTGGATGCCTACAAACAGTAGTAGCTTTAAACAACAAAAGTGCTTTTCACTCGAAAAGGAAATAAAGCCATTACATTTCTATCATACTTTTTTGTTGAGGCGACTGGAAGACATAATATACTTGTTATTCGTTCACTAAATAAAGAAAAATATATATTATTGATATTGACTGTATATTGTATTAAATAAGGCATTTAAAAAGTGTATTCGATATACTATCTGGCATTTTTCATGCAAAACACTCACACTCACTTCGGCTATTTTTGTGGAGATTTACTCACCTTGCTTCGACCTGAAGTTTCGTTTCGTAAGAAACGGAGAAGAATGTTTGATCATTGATAAGTTTGGCTATAATGAACAAAAACAATATACATCATGAGTAGAATAAGTCGATGTTTCAGTTGTTGCTTACTAGTAAAAACAACTAATGTTTGGTCAAACGCAGCTACAAGAATATTCAGGGCTGGAGAGAAAGCTAATAAACATTCTTTCAGCCATTCATTGCGAACACGTGGCATTTTTTTAATAATAAGAGCTGCATTTTGAGCTACAGATTCAGAGGCTAGAAGAAAATAAAATGACGAGAATGTTCAGATGCATTTCTGTCTAATCAACAAGTTTTGCTTACTTTGATCCTGTTCGTCGTCGTCGTCGTCGTCCTCTTCGAAACCATCGTTATTATCTTCTAGCAAATGTGGTAACAATAGTGCTCGAATACGTTTTAAATCATTAATCACAGATAAGTTAATAAGTGTACACGTCATTTAGAATAAGACAAAAGATTGTTTTCTTGTTGGTTATTTATATAAAAAAATACGATTGATACTGCACAGTAGACGGTTTAATTAAAATAGCGAGATATCAATGTTAATACGCAGACTCTCCAAACGTACAATTCGAATAAACTATTTTGTATTGTCTAAAATTATAAAAGAACAAAATGCACGTGTATTTCTTCGGACGTGAGCCAACGTTTCCCACCTGGACAAGAACAAGAAAACAAAAAAAAGAAATATTTCATTTGAATACATATATACATAAGAAAAAGATCCATAGTTTATCAGGCGAAATCCATTATTTAATCACGCGACAAAATACCTAGAAGAATAAGATGAAGACGAATTTTAAAAAGAGAATCATTTTACTTTCTACCGTTTTCATTATTTTCTGTTCAGGTCAAAAGAATATTCTCTAACATGTCAGAAATTGTTGATACTAGAGCCATCTAGTCGAAGACATAGAACAAGGGAGTGTTTGTTTGTTAAGAAAAACGTCAATTTAGCTTGTTATGTGAGAGAGAGAGTTGCCAGATGCTTAGGTCAGAAAAGCGGAAATTTTTTCCAAAATGTGGAAAAAAACGGAAACGCATATTTTTTTTTACTGTAGTTCATTTTTCACCAAATGTAAAGGGTATCAAAAAAAATTTTCTAACACCTTATGGTGGTTCCACTTAAGAAATACAAGAGAAGTACGAAACATCAAACTCACAATTTGAATCGGTATTGATTTTCTGTGGATGCATCTGTTTTATAAAAGTTGCAAAAGCATTGTTTTGATAGGTCATTCAGCCTGACCAAATTTTTTATGAAAAAATGTAAAATCCTTCATTGTAGGAAAAAGGACAAAAACAAAAAAAAATCGTCGAAAAGCGGACATTTTGTGGAAAAAACTATAGAAAGTGGAATTTGTCCGCAACATGCAGGTCATCTGACAGCCCTAGTAAGGATTTGAGATGTTTTATTCTACTTGTAGACAAGAATACAAGTTAATCGAGAATGAAGTTTTTCGTTAGAGTTATGCTTATGCTTGGTGATCGATGTCGGATCTAAACTTATCGTATAAATAAAAATAAAGAAGATGTCTTATTGCGTATTAAGACTAAAAATGAGATCTACATTAGTCATCTTCACCAAATTGTATAAAAATTAAAAATATAGGAAAATAATTTCGAGCAGAACAAATTTTTGAACTGTAGTATTCATCCGCGGCGTCATCTCGTTATTTAAATTTTGTAAATAAAAGTTTTCACGTAAAAATTAGTACTCAAATTCGTATACAAATTCCTATTGACAATAATAGTAAATATTGAATCGTATTTTATTCGAGCCACGAATATCCTCCTTACTTTATAGTAATCTGTTTTATATAGAAATTTTTCAAAAATCAAGAGAAAAAAACAAAAGAGTATAAACAAACTTGCATTATCGGCACATACGAGAACGAGATAAAGAGAGAGAGAAACAGAGAGAGAGAGAGAGAGAGAGATGCACAACAACTCAGCAGTAATGAAAAAAACAAAAATTTTGTCAGTTTTTCAAATAAATATGTTTATGAAAATCAAAAAAAGATGAAAGAAAAGAATGACACTAACAACAAATAAACAACAAAAACTTAAAAACACAAATGAAAAATAGCAAAACAGACAAATAATTTATTTGTATTTTTGTGTACTTTTAAAAAATGCTTGTAAGAAAATATTCTATATAATAATAATATTAATGCACTTGGGAGAAAATAGAAGAGAATAGATCCGTACAGAAAAAAGAGATTTCTTAAGCCGTTGTTATAATTCCATTATTAGTTCTTGATGATTCATGTAAATTATAATTCATTATTGTATGATAATACGTTGGAGATGAAGTATAGTCAGTCGAGGAAGACGATGACGATGGACTATACGAACATGCGCTAGTTGTTACTTGTTGATAAAAGGAAATGTTATTGTTAGCTATCAGTGAATCATTGTTATCAGGATCTATGATAATACAAGACGATGACGACGATAGATCATCATGAATCATATTTGCAACATTTGTTAATGAGGAAAATGTTTCATTATTATTCATATCAAGTTCATTTGTATTCGATGATGATAAAATGGTACATAAATCAGATGATTGTAAACTATTGTTATTAGTAGTAAATATACAAGGAGAATCTTCATCAATGATCGTTCTATTCTTTTCATTACAACAACGATCAGATGAATTTGTCGTTGTAGAAATTGTTGATTGTACCGAAGAATTTGTGTCTGGTAATGAATCGGTGTTTGTTTGTGAAGTATGACAAAATGTATAAGCTGACAATGTATTTCCACTAATATCAATGTATTCACCTCCGCCATGTGGTGCTATTAATTCATCTTCGGAGACAATTGATGCTGGTATAGCAAAATTTGATTGTTGTAGCGAATCTAAAGTTGTCCAAAATGTATCCGTATTATAATGTGATGTTACACAAGATGTAGATGAGCAAATAGTTGATGATACACCGGTATTGTCATTTAATTCGCAATTACTGTTTGTATTTTCTGTGACAAGAATAGGTGGAACAACATCATAATAGGTGGATAATAGTATATCTTTGGCATTCGGTGTCGATGTGATAATCGACGGAGCTATTGTTATTGATTGCTGTAGTTGTGGTGGTAGAGAAGATGCCGATGAAGAAACAGCACAATATTGTGTAGAAGATATTAACGGAGGTGAATATGAATAATGATGATGAAATGGTGTGTATGTTTCATTGATATAATCATTCAAATGAGTTTTTGTTTCACTAGTATACGGACAATTATTATTATCAATAATATCACTGATTGAATCGTTTATTAAACTATTTGACGTGACATTCGAAGATGAACTATACATAATATCATTGAAATCTAATAACTGAGGTGATATACTGTCCGAAGATGAACTACGAAACGATGTTCTCGAATGATGGAGATGTGAAGAAGAATACTGTTGATCATGTGTCGATGTTAAACCATAATGTTGTGGCGGTGTTCTCATCGGATAAGTATTTGTTGATAATGCTGTTGTTGTAGTAGTCAAACTGGTATTACTACAACTATGCGACATACTGGTGGTTGTTGTTGATGATGAAGGTGTTTTGAACGTTTTTTCTAGACACTTTATCAAATTACAGATCATTAGTGATACATGGAGTTTAGGTTTTTTAATACCACGTAATTTACGGTAAGATTCTAATAATACTGTACCTACAGTGAAAAAAGAAATATATTAGTCAGATGTCGATTGCTTAAAATTATTTGAAATATTTACGTTTTTGTTCATCATCATGCATTGTTGAATAAGTATAACGACGTTTTACTATTGGAGTAGTAGTGGATGAAACTGCTTTTGATGCTGCCACTATTGTATCACTATGGCGTCTCGTTGTGATTGTAGAGCATCTGTTGAATAAATTTAATTTTGATACTGATGCACTGTATGGTTGATAACAACTATTACTATCGTATATATCAGAAATGTCTTGATGATTATGAGAATGTGAGTGTTGTTGATTATTGTCTTCGTCACTATCTTCCTCATTTTCATCCAAATCATCTTCACTTTCTTCACTGCTTAATTCATCTTCTTGATCATCCGATTCTGAAAATACAAAACTTTTATTTTAGATCTTTAGCTCACATCATTATCTCTTATTGTCTTTTAAATACATATATAGACGAATTTTATGTAGAACTTGAGAAAAGACTGACTTTTTCTACCAAGATCAGTGCTTCAGATTAGACGATCGTTTTTGATCACGGCTACATTGATTATAAAACTGAACATAACGGGTGGCACAGAAATAATGAGCTCCACTTTCGTTTCCTATTTTTGAGACACTAATGTTTCCATTAGTGATACATCATAGGTACTTTTTGTAAAAAATTCGTCTTTATTTAACCGTCATCAGAAAATAACATTTTTTGTAACGTTTTGTCACTAGTAATAAACGATCCAAAAATCATTTTTGTATTCTCTATAGTTCCAAGATCCTTCCATAGAATAAATAGAGAATTTTTTGTTTTACAAAATCAAGCATGTCGAGCACTCTCTCCACATTCTTTAACTGATTCTTTCCTGCTTTTTTGTCAAACCTGACGCCATTCAGAACGACTGATTTTTCTTATGTAAAAAATTCTTTTTAAGTCTCGATATCTTGTGAAGAAGCGGTCTAACCCAAAAGATAGCTCTGGATTTGTCGAACATTTCTACGTCTACCCTGTTCTGTCAGTATCTATATTACTGCTAAAATGATTATTCAAAAGTCGAAAATTCTCTAGAATTCTGAATGTGAGCGTCGCACTTCTGTTTATTTTTTTCGTTACTCTGCGTTTTCAAATAATGAAACAACATGTAAATATCGGATAGAGACGATTGTGTAGAGCAAACAATTCTCTCTCATCTGAATAATCTAGAGCAGAGTCTTCAAATAATATATAATTGCCTCAAAAATAGAAAATAAAAGTGAGACTCATTATTTCTGCGCCTCCTGTAACTAAGTTTACAACTAATCACTATGAAGTCTGTTCATTTACAAAGAAAAGAGAGCCCATGCGTTTAAATCATGACGCCGAACCATGTACCTGAAAGAGAATTTTTCGATTAATACAAGTATTTCTACTAACCATCATTACTAAGTCAAGTGATTAATTTTCATACCTGATAACTTTCGTTTTAAATAACATGTTTGTGCTTCGTTAACATCCATATAATAGTGATTGTTTTCAGTGTATGGATATAACTGAGTTTTACAAAAATGAATATTGTCACACATAATTAATTGATTAAAAACTAAAATAAAAAATACTATTAGAACAGAAATGATTCTGGAAAGAATAACAAAGTTAGCAAAAACAGAAATATGAAGAATCTTTACAATAGAGATAGATTGTCTGTAATTAATTTTCATAACACTTACTATTGTCATCAATCATCAATTCTAATAGAAGGCATATTCGAATATTCTTCATTCTTATTAATTTTAGATAAAACGTTTTATGTTTTAAAAAATTAAAGTACCTGTACAGTTCAGATTTAAAAATCCTTGCGTTTCTGATAAAATAAAGAAATGATGAAGAAACGAAAAAAAAATCTTTTTTTTTTTTTTTTTTGAGTAATACAGGATTTGTTTTTTAATAATATCTACGTATGCCCTTTTTGTTATTCTTTTCCATTGTGTAAAGATATTTTTCTCATTTCTTTTTCGAGTTACAACTATTGTAGACTCTCTTCTCGATGTAATAGCTATTATATTTTGACAATCAGCTGTTTTTATGATCTTTTTTTTCTGTGTGGCTATATTTCATTAGCATAAAACTCAATGAATGAATGAATACGTATTATTATTTGTAGATATCGTATTGATTAATACACACACACACACACAAAAAATAGTATTTGGTAAATATAATGATGCTTTAAAACAATAGTCAACTTTCAGAGAGCGAGCGAACAAGTGAAAGAAATATAAAAACAGAGTCAATGCTAATATATCAGTTGTACCCAGAGGATAATGATTATTAGAGAAAAATCAAAGTGCCACAATATCAAAAATATATTGAACGTAAGATGACTGTTTATTAAAGAAATTCATTAGTAAAATAGTCCGCTTTGCTCACTATCTTAATCTAAAGAAAACATAAATCAATTACGAATTAGTTGGCTGCATCCATCTTATAATACACCATATTATCTTCCGCCTTCTTTCAAGATGATGAATTTGTAACCGGCTTACACATCTTATTTTAAAATGTATTTCTTTCTTCACATTATCTATGACCATCTATACTTAGTACAAGGTATTGAACTGCCTATCGTAGCGTCTGTAAAAGAATGAAGAAAAACTTTTCATTTTATTTCTAAAAGCTGTCATATTTTACATATGGTAATGAATGCAAAGCAAGAAATGATCGACTTCTACGTTTATTGTAGAAGTAAGATTTGTGCACTTTGTACATAAGTATGCATCTTAAAATAGTATGAATAGAAAAAAAATAAAACGTATCAAAGAATAATACGCAATTTTTATTAAAAGTATAGTTTTAAAAATTTTTCAAGTTATAGTGTTCATATGTTTTTGCCATCGTTCGTTACCTCTTCTTTATCTCGTCATTAAACATTTGAGAGAATATATGTTACGATCAAACAGGATGATCTTATTCTTCAACGATATTTTGAATAGTTTTTGTAAGTTTTGGGCGAATTTGTGAGCGATATAACATGTAGAGTAATTTAATGTAGCTCTATAACCTGACATTGAGTCCATCTATTCCATAAACTAGAGTTACTTAAATAAATTTTCAATATTTAACAGAAAAGAGCGGTGGTCTAAGAAATAGTCAATTTTGGAAATATTTTCGAAAGTAAAATAACGTCATTCACTTATGTATTATATTTGTTGTTTATTCAACATATTATTAATGATAAATCAAAGAAAAAAAAACAAAAGAAAACACAGATTTGTCATGAGGGATTTTTTACTCAGTAAAAATAATACTAAAAAGATAGAATGAACATCGTTTTCAAAATACGATGATAACTAAACTTTAATTATTCTGTCTCACAAACGCCTCAAAACTTTAATAAATAAAGTTTTCAATTTATGATATTAAGCTAATCATGATAAAATGCACTATGGAAAAATTGTCTTTATTAGCTGCTAACAGTGGCTAAATCAATTAAAATAAAACTATCAGCATATAGTATTAGATGCAAAAAGGGATATTTGTCTACACACTAGGTTGAGGATTTGGATTTTTTTCTTTTTATCATTGATAATTTTTTTTGCTATGAGCAGGTAAAAAAGAAAGAAATGTTTATATCTCTCTAATACGTAAATACATATATATAAATATATATTCCTTTTTTTTCAATTCATATAAGTAAATGTAAATGATGTTACAGAATCACAAACAATAAAAAAAATCAGGATTAAGCGATCGGATGAAAACACGATTGGTCAATGAAAATAAGAAACACACAAAGAAAAATGCTTTTTATGTACAATAATGATATGGCAAACAATAAATTAATAAATATTGATAGAAATTAAAAAGTAAAGAATCTTAGCTAAGAAGTGCAGTTTCTTGTCGCAATTCACGCTAAAACAAATTTAGCGTTTAGTACGTTATGTTTCTAAGAAAGTAACATTTTACATAATAAGTTTTCATCAACAACTGCTACTCATAACAGTATTTATCTCTTAACGAGTTCCGTGCGAAACTATTTAACTATAGACAGTGAACAAAACTGAAATCTTCTATCTTCTCTATTTTATGAAAAAGATTTGCCGGGCTCTTATTTGGTTGATTTCAGATCAGATATCTGGTCTTATCTTATGGTGCAGATGTTTTGATAGATTAGACACCAGTTCAACAGCAACAGGATTTGTTTGAATATGCGTGTGCTTTATATGGTGTTAGAAATCGACACTGATGAAAACAATGTAATCTAATGCGAACCTGACTCTATTCATAACAAAACAAGCGGAATCCGACTAGAAACAAATTGCTCTATTACTGCCTACGGTAAAGTTGCCTATGTGTGAATTTATGCAGCAACCGACAGAAAAAATAGTAGAGGATGGAATGATATGAATTTTACCAAAGGATGCTCTCTTTCTCTCTGCATCTCTCATGTAAAAAAAACAAAGATCAATGAGAATCTTTAATAAAGTGCTTTTGGAATAAGTATATCAACTAAAAATTTCAAGTTAGAGCTTACTTTCAAGGTGAAAAATAATATAAAATTGAACTTTTCATCTGTCTATCACGTGTATTCCACGGCTGAGTCGAATAGGTAAAAACGTGTTACGTTTTAACTCTACGGCTAAGTCAAACTGCAAGTCTCTGAAAGCCATAGAACTCATTTTAGCTATAAAAATGAAAAATATCTCTCCAGACAGAAACGAAAAATTGTTGTTTTATTAATGCATTGTTGTTCAAAGCTGCTACACCCCCCTCCCCATAGAAAAGAAAATCTTTCTGTATCTCATATGAATACTATCTCATACACCAACTTCAAAACACACTATAATCTAAAGATTGTTCTCACAACACGTATTAAACGTTATTTTCTCAAAGTTAATAGTTTATCAATTTTACTTGCTCACAAGTATAAGGTGTTTCGTTTGTTTTTATTCTATTATAATCGGAAGTATTATGAAATTTTTTTTGTTTTTTGAAAACATAAAAAAGAATTGAAAAAGTAACAAGGAAAACCATCATTCCACTTACCTCCAATTTAAGAGATGAATGATGCAGTTTAATTGTTTCAGAATCAATCAATAATTATGTAGTTTTCATTTCATTAACATTGGTATATAAATTAAAATTGTCAATTTATTTCTGTTAATGAATGTAAGAAAAAAATCTTTTAATTCTCTAAATTATCTAGAGAGATAAAACAAAATAGAAAAAGATCTGAATAGTTTTCCTTAATTAAAATTATAAAACCGAACGAAACAAAAAATTAATTTTTTTTTTTGTTTCTTTCTCTACTAACGAATAGAAGGTTAATGAACAAATATCTATCCATATTCAACACGAACTGTCAAACAGATATACCATCATTTTGTTTTTTTTTCGCTCAAATAAAATTTTCCTTATTATTATTATCATCAAAAAAAAAAAAGAATGAACATAAGAAAAAATCAAGACACACACACACACACACAAGGAAGAGAACAATAGAAATCCTATCATCTACACACACTAAAAGGTTTTTTCTTTCCTCTGTTTTCTTTTTAAAAAAAAAAAAAAGTTTTTTAGAGTGCACACTGCACCATCATCAACAGCAGCACACATAAAAAACAGTATTGATGAGAAAACTCTTTTTTACATGTTTCCTTTATACAATATAGACTTGCATTTTTCTTTTTCTTCTTCTATGGGGATGTATATAGTACTTTATGTATGGGGAAGAGAAGAACAAGAAGCAAAATGCAGTGTGTAAGTGTGTGCGTGTATGTATATATTCATCTATATATCGGGATTTTTTGTTTCATTCTCTTCAATTCACATATATATATGTTTTGTACGTGTTGTTATTTTCAAATGGTTGTATGTTAAAAACTTGGGCAAATTTTTTTTACTTCGTTCGTCGACCGTCACCATCATCACTGCCTTCGTATTTCTTCTTTCTTTTTTCCTTCTTTTCTTACATATATCTTTACATACATGCGTGTTCGCGTACACTACTCTCATTTATGGGGTCTTTGCGACTCATATTTATTATTATTTTTATTATATTCATTCTTTCTCTCATTCTTCTGTTTGCTCTAGACGTACGTCAAATGCACCTAGAAGTTTGATCGTAGTGATAGTGTTGGTGGTATAGTTTGTTGTCAGATATATATGTATAGAGAAGATGAAGAAAAGAAGCAAAAAAAAAAAAAAAGAGCAAAAAATTCTGTATGTCTAACTGATATGACTTAGTTCGATCCCTTCTTTTTTTTAAATAGAGAATACACGACCTAATACAACAATACACACATACATACATCGAGATAGTACTAAGCGAACAGATGTCGCAATAAACGAGCAGTATTAATTTTCGAAAAATCTTTTTTTTCTTCTTTCTTTTAGTTGTTGAGCACATCATTTTATTCCTTTGTATAAGAAGTATAGATGGAAGAGGAGAACATGAACTCAGCGCACTGAACACTGAACAACAGCTCTCTTCTTAACCTATAGAATAAATTGTCTAAATTCAAACTAGTTTACAACGAATTTTTTCTTGGAAAAAATGATTTTTCTAAATAAAAGTTAAAGAAGTTTTAGGAATTGTAACAGTAGTTGATTGATTGATTGATATATTAAAGAAAATTTAAAATTGTTTATACATTCTTTTAACTGTAAAAAACATAATCATTGAAGAGGGAGTGTTGTAAATCTACTTTTAATGTTTAGATACGAAGTGTCAACCTTTGTCTAATCGTGCTTTATAATTGGTTTATATTAACAACAGTTAGCATCATAAAAATTAAGTACGTTAAATTTTCTCTAGTGTACGACTAATACTCAAAAAGTAAATATAGTTCGTCTCTATAACCTTTTTAGCTGAACATCGTGCAATATGGTGTTTTATTTTGAACACGGCATTATTTCTTTAGTAATTCAAATTTTAGTTCATAATATTAGCTAAGAAAATTCTCGATTATTGACATCGCACACAAAAATCGAAATAAAACATTCAAACAATTCCATTATAACTTTTCAAAAGATTTGTACTGTCATTTTAAGAATTTTTTGATGAAAAGAAAAAAATCATTCAAACATATATCAACCATCAAATTGGGAAGTATTTGAACTAAAATTTCTCTCTATTTAAAGTATGTTAAATGTGTTTCAGTAAACTTCTTGCCATTATGTTGTTACTTCGAGTCATTTTCTAGAGGAAAACCTCCTCCTTATTCGCTTTTCCAAAAACAGGTCTTCATTCGTCTCATGTGACGCGATGTTCTACTTAGAATAACCTCAAATCTCTCTCTTCTGGTGTATAACAAATATAATAAACACCGTCATCAAAATCCCAAGTTGACTGACTCGATAGTAACTTGAGTCAGTTTACCAAGTTTATCGAGTCTTTCACTTCGAGTCCGAGTCATAGAAAAATGCGACTCGGACTCGCCCATTCCTACTTGGAAATTCTGTACAGATCTCAAAACAGGCCCGTAGCCAGGATTATTGTGAAGGGGGGATCGACTTTTTTGCCTTAAGAGATAGTGTGAAGTGTTATCAACTAGCAACGTTTTCAGTGAAAAAAAAATCATTTTTTCAAAAGTCAAGAGGGAGACCGGTCCTCCAATCTCTCCCCTGTCTCAAAATGACACATTTTATTCTATTTTTTACTTCTCGAAACGATAATGATTAGCAACACTATTTTTCAACTATCAGAAGTTACTATCCCTGTGTGTGCGGTTGACATTCGTATGTATCAAGTGTGTTAAATATGTTTACAAAGATTTGAAATTTACCCAGTATGTAGAAATATCTGAGTTGAAATATTTATAGAGTAAAACATTTTGTTTTAAAATAGCAGATCGTTTGAAGATTAATAGTGAATCATTTTGTCTTTTTTAAGAGTCTTTACTTGTAAGAAAACTATAATATTCGGTTTATAGACTTATATGGTGATTTACAGGTAACAATACAAACTAATTTTAAAACATATGGCAGGTCTAAAGTATCCAAATTCATCTCTTTCATCTCTACTTTTATATATTCTAAAAACAAGCTATGACAATGGATATAAGATTGACGTGGATATTTGATTACGGTGACCGGATAACACTGCATTCACACGTTTATTGTAGAAAATTTTCTATCTTTCACGATTTATTTTTCAAAAATATTGAGCATTAAAGTTTACTTTGTTTTTTTCATGAAGAAAAAAAATTAGAAAACACAATAATTTAATTCAAAGAAATAATAGTAAGTTAAACGTAGCAATTGGATGTGTAATATTATAAAGTATGTCAAAAAGGGCATTCAAAAACAACATCCCACTTCTCTTCAGTTCATTAAGAGACAAATTTGAGTGTCAGTCATATGTCAGGTAACATGTCTATTAACTAGATATGTTATCTCTCATATTCGTTCAGTCATTGTATATTGAAATTAAGTTTCTTTCCAAATAAATTGAAACGTTTTTTAAAACTTATCATCAAGATCTGTTTTTGATTTCATTCACGGAGTCCGTGTATTTATTTTAGTGATACTTTTTCCAAAAAAGTGAGTATAATTAAAAACATCACTTAATTGCTTTGCAAAAAATTTCTTTTCACCTTTATACTTAAAAATAACAATAGCTCTAAGAAAGTATTGGATTCACCACTGATTCACATACTAAGCACTAAGCACAAGAATAAATAAGTTTTGCTATCTAATAGCCAAAACTAGGATTGAATGTGTTTAAACTTTCAGTCATCGTATGATGTATATATAACAGCTTTTCAATCTCCAGCTTCTGTATCATACGAATTAATATAAAAAATAGATGTCAGCTTAATAAGGGAGACCCATAGCGAAATTTTGGTATATAAAATGGCGTGTACACCCGTGAATATCGTGAAATGAACTGCGGTGGCATGTGAACATCGTAAAACGGTGTGAGGATACGTGTGAAAGATATATTCCACTTGTGACAACGCGTGAACTATTCACGGAAACTTTTCATGTCACGTTTTCTTACGTGGTCACTAGTGAAAGTCGTAAAATCGTGTGTGAACACATGTGAAAAAAAGTTCTCACTTATGAACCCGTGTGAAATTATAGAAAGTTAACTCATGACCACTCATTTGATGTTACAATTGCACGATTTCAACGTCATGAAACTTCGACAAAATTTCCCCATGGAGGAAAACGAAGTTATATAATAACCATCGGTTTGTTTTGAAACTTCTATAAACCTTTTTCATACAAAAAAATATTTTCGCGGTTCATCTTCCATTCAACCGTATAAAATTCCCTCAAATTGACATCTGTATTTCTTTTTTCTGCAATGATTCATAGATGATAAATGGCATAAAGCGAACACATTTAGAAAAAAGAACAGAACAAAAACGATAAAACAGACTTTCTTCCTTATGCATATAGTTCACATTCCATTTATTCTTTGGCTCCTTTTTTTTTGTTTTACTGTTATGTTCATCAATGTATCACCCCGCCCCCCCCCCTCCCTTCAACTCCTACACTTTTTCATTTCGTACTATGACACGCTGCTATATACTTTGTTTGATCATCGCACAATTTTATTATTAGAAAAAAAATTGTTTATTTTTCTACATATACATGAGGTTTCATATACAGTTTTTTTCCTTTTTGATGTATTGCGCATCACAAGATTAACGTTATGCTCGAGTACTAACAAAGAAATTGTAGAGAAAGTAAATGACAAACAATTTGTTCAGCGTTTTTTGACAGAACAAAAAGAAGGATGGTGGAAACCAGAAGAAATGATATATATATACATGCAAGTAGATGATTATCTTTTCTATCACCATAATCATCTACTTGATTATGGTGATAGAAAAGAACTATAAAAAATCCAGAACGAGAAAACAGAAACTTTACATGCATCATTCGACATTTTTTAGTCGACGAAAGATGGTGCTGCTATTTGACGTCAAACAAAACAAAAAATTTTAAGCAAAAAAATGTCGGTATCGACTAAATTTGTATTTAAGATGCAAGACTCAATAGGAGAACTGTTGGGATTTGTCGATAGGCTTTATGTTGAAGTAAAGACAGTACAGCACGGAAATGATCGGTGCTGGTTACTGTTAAATAAGTCAATATATACAACGCGTAACGATAAAATCAACTGAGAAAAATGTTCTTTATAATAATTTTCTGTTAAAGTATGATTCATCCATCACACTATACCGTAGCAGGCATTCATCTCGTCTATTAAAATATTCATCAAGTTTGTATAGGAGCAAAAGCCAATCATTGATCCATTACCTTGCAATGAAACTAAAGGAGAATGACATGGGATAAAATTGTAATTTAGAATTTTTGACTCATATAACAGGCTTAATTAATTTATTTTAGTTTTTTCATTTCTTTGGAAGCAGAAAAAAACAAAACACAATATTATTTACAAATACACAATGAACATGCTAGAGCGAACAAAAAATTTTCTAATTGCACACACACATACACAAAGAATGGAAAATGCAAAAGAAAGACGTGTACAAACGCATATATATATTCGTTGATGAGAAAAATGACTGTTTATTTTGCTTTATAGTGATGTAATGACGTAACCGAAAATCATGATGTAGACGTGCAGACTAAACAAAAAAAGGTGTTTACGGATTTCTCCTTCAATTCCAATTTCAAAGTGAAAATGAGTAGAAAATCTATTTAAATGGTTTCATTCTCATAGTAAGCCGTGCATAGAAAACAGACGATATGAGTAACGACTGGCGATAAGATCAAATACTCACCTAAAATACACTGTTGCACTTTTTAGAACTATTTTCTTTGTCTTGCTGCTGCAATATAGCAAGAAAAGAACAGTAAATATCAATAATGCGCACATATAATAATACACAGAATAAAATACTGACAAAAGAAAAACAAAATCGAATGTTAGTCATCAACATAATAGAAATTGATGTTTGACAATACACGTGTTAGTAGTGTAAAACAAAACGTGCAAAAGCAACAGATACGTAAACAAACGATATAAAAAGAAACATTCGTTGTATAAACGCTGGGATTTCGTAATCATACAGAAAAAAAACCAAAGTTGTTTAATTGAAAAATCAACAATCATTCATATAAAATGTAGAAATCAAAATAATAGGCCTCTCAGTTCGATAATAGTATCAACATAGCGGCAGGTGATTATAAATGCAACAAAAGGATAGACAGATGATGCGCATAATTATTAAAATATGTATCATCCAATGCGTGGGCGGTTTTCTTCTTAAGAAAATCAAGAATCAGGTGCTGGTGTATGTAGAAGATATTCACAAACAACTACAGACCACAACCATAATATTAAAAAAAAACAAAGAAGGAAGAATAACAACATCAAATATAAATGTTAAGAAAAAAACATGAATTTTTACTCGTTTTTTTTCTCTGTTTGGAACAATATACCGGGAGAAAAAAATGCAGAAACTGAGAATTCAGATAACAATAGCAAAAAAGAACATCATATGAAACGTGAAGTCCAGCTCACATTCAAATGTTTACTGAAAAGGAAATGACTTTCAATTTAATTAAACCTTAATATACTTTGTTCTTAATACGCATTTGTTGTAGATTGTCTCGTTGCAAATCAAATGTCTTTTTGTTTTTCGTGCTTCATGTTTGTGATCTTATCACTATCACTGATCAAACTGAAATGAAAGAATAGACGACTTATTATATTAAACGGATTAGATACACAAAAGAAACTGAAATATTTGAGCACGGAATGAAACTCATAATACTTTATAATTTGCTCCTTTCACAGAGTAAACTGTTAAACTACGCAAAACAACTCATGCTTTGTTCAAAAATGTGTCTGACGATCAAGATAAGATACCGATTTCAAAGAGAAAATATCCATCAAAAATAGCTAAAAACCTTGTCAGGGCAGCCCCTTATGGACCTAAAATGGTGGAACTCCTCAAGTTGTTGAATAGTTTAAGACGATGTGACCACCAGTTTAGGATGATGTGATCAGCAGGGGAGGCGGGGAGGATTAAAAAACGGCCAAAATCAGGGGCTTTCGAGTATAAACTTTAACTTCTCAGATATAGGAGTTTCACAAAACCTAAACTACGATCGGGTTTTAGAGCGAAAACCGGACTACTAGCAACTTTATACTTTAGATGTTTACTTATTTATAGATACTCACGCTGTAACTGGTTTTTCTTCAATGTGTTCATCTTCGTCTTCTTCTTCGCGTGTGTCATGTAAAGTCTTCAACTGTCCTACACACACTCGATAAAGAAATTGGCAAATGAACTAAAAGAAAACGGATTTAAGCATTGTAATATTTGTATGAAGGTAAAGTGATAGTTACAAAAAGCCAATAAATATTTAATCCAAGTAATATCCATAATAAAGAATTGAAAAATGCATATAAACCACAACCTTTATCATAGGCACGGTATGCAGTAACAACACCAGTTGAATACAAAACTTTTAATGGAAACCAATATAAACGAAATAAGAGCCTTAAAGCAAGAGAAACAACTGATTCATGAGAGAACACCACTCTGCGTCTCGTACATACCAACAAATTGTAAACATAATAAAAGTACATGTTGCTGCTAATTCCCAGTTTGGACAATCTTTACCGTTTTGACGACTCAAGTAATGTAAAAGTTTTGTTAATTCCAACCAGATATCGGTTATATCATGGGCAAACAGCACCAACAAACCAACTTTATGATAACTAGAAAGAACAAAATACCACAACTTAGACTTTCGGATTTCTTTATCTTACCGTGTAGCATAAGAAACAAATATCAATGTCATTGTGAGAACATGATGTAAAAGCATAACATAAAAATCTCGACGTTTATAATCCATATATAACGTAGCATAAACAGAATGTAAATAGAACCCACACTGTACAAAATACATTATTTTAATATCCACTGGTACAGGCATTCCTGCACCCCAGTCTATTAACAAAAAAACAAAGAAAATTTGTATTAAATTATTTAACTATCTCTTAGATACTGAGGCTAATAGTAAATGATCAAGGAACTCGTTTAGCTGGTATAATTCGTCAAAAATTTGATTGCTCGGACGTGTCAGTGTTTTCTTCTAGACGCAGGATAAGTATCAGAACGTTATAAAAGTTTGGGACGAAATCCACATAGATGACATATGCGTTATAATTTCTTAGCTTGCGTGATAGCTCAACCGTTCTAAGATCGCCTTTTTTAGAATATATATTTTGCTGTCTATTGCTGAATGACGAGACAAGTATCTGCAGCTATCATAGAGGTTGCTCATCTTTGCTGAATAAATAAACGATTTTGTAAAAAAGTATGCTGTTTGGAATTCTTCTTTTCTCACTTTACTTCAAAGCCTTAGAAGACAAAAGTATCCGATCGACTAGCTGGGAGAAAACGGTTAAATAGTCTCTGTATATACAGCATACAAAAATTCTTTAATTAACAATGTTTCTAATGTAAGTCACAGTAGCCACAGTTTTCCACTTCGTTGTAGATTGATCATAAAGTGGACGACGTTTATACATTAAAATCTTTATTGGACAGCTGTCGTCTTGTTTCTTAGAAGACACTCTTTAATCCTACGACCTACAAATTGAACTATCGCCACTCTGTGAATCGATCTACTTCTTCAAAAATGAAATTTTCTTTTTTAAGATTATGATTAAGATTGTGTTCATAGAAAATTTCACTTTGCTTTTCGTGTACTATCGGTCATTATAAATACTATTACTCATCATTGTTTATTTAATCGTCACCCTCAAACTCAACAGTAAAAAGCATCACATTTTTTGAGTGAACGAATACCTGAGAATCTTTACTTCAGCAAGATTTTTTTGAATAAGACTAGATTGTACATACCATCCCATATTAAATATGGTTCGTGGAAGTAATTATATCGTCGAGTTAATAAATAAACACAATAAGACCATGTAATTGTATACAATAAACATTTCCATGCTGATTCGGGAAATTTAAGTTTATTTAATTTTGTAAGAGCTAACCAATTGACTAATGGCTAAAATTATAACGAGAAGGACAAAAGTAAACGCATTTTATTTTTAATAGGCAAGGTTTTACCTTGCATATGTAAGATTCAAATGCAGATCGTAGTAATGTTATGAAAATGGCAACGTAAATAATGTAAGTTATTTCATGTAATGGAAAGTAAAAATGTTGTGTAAAATCGTCAACGAATGATTGCGGAAAAGTATAATTCGTCCACATATGTGGTGCATAATACCATGCCATTGTATTCCATAACCCAGTGACTAAATCTACATACGTTGGGTTCATTGAAAAATTTCCTCTCAAATCCTTCCATGCAGCTAATTTTTCTGGTGATAAGGGCATTCGTATCTAGAAAAAGAACTGCAAACAATTATTAACACAAAAACATCTAAATTGCGTACCTATAACTTCATAATAAAAAAACAACTAGTTTGAACAATATTATAGTTAAAAAATTTATATTATTATGCAAACTATCAGAAATGAACCCACTTAGTTCGCTGATATACAGGTGACAACACCATTTTTTCACCTGGATACTAGTGAACTAAGTGGGTTCATTTCTGACAGTGCATTTAATCTATTGAAGAGCTGTATGTTCGATGGTTTATTGCTTCATCCAATACAAATGAGCTCTTAAAATATCAGGTTATTTTTAATAGCAATCAAATATTTACCATTCAATTATAAACAAAAGAAATACGGCTATCATAATTGTACTGTATAGTATTCATGAAGCAATATTCACTGCAGAGGTCGCTTACGATCGAAGATAAGCTCATGAATAGCATGATGACTTTTCAATAAATAAAATTTTTTTGGTTGATCTCCTACTGTTCAGCTCAATACAAATACATTTCCAGCTCAGTAACGCGTAAGTACACAAGAAATGTCTCTTTTAATTATCTCTAAAATATCAAAAATGATCCAAAAAATCGACTTCTAAGAGAATTCCTTAAACAGACAAATGCCATAAGCAGAGACTGTTGGAGAGCAAGATGAATATCAGAATATAATCAGCAGACTGAAGAGGCTTAGCTTGCTTTGTCAAAATATTTATCTTATCTTTTATTTAGTTTCACTTTAACTTCGACAACCAAAAAACAGCAAAAAGAACAGCGATCACATAGAGAGAATGTATCAAACTATTAAAGATAAAGAAAAACATTCTCTATCAAATTAAACATGATAGAGAGACAAACAAAGACTATTATTTCACTTAGCTAATATAATAAAATTTCATCTACAGTTATGATCGCATTCACACATGGAAATTGAACATTATAAGAAGTTTAGCAATGAGTAAAATTATTAACATTAAATTCATTTACTGCAAGGAAGAGTTTGAACAAAAAACAAACGAGAATAGCATAACAATAAATACACACAAAAAAAACGACGAAGCAAAACAAAGAAACATAATCTTATTTGATGAATACTGTACATTAAATTCATTTTATTTTCTTTATAGATAATTATCCGACACTATCAAAGAAACAATTCATCCGCGCAAGCCTTGCATATTTCTTCTTTTCATCATTATCAATATCTACTATTTGTTGTTCTATTGAATACTAATACGTCGTTATATGTCCAACAATGTTTTAAAATTCAAACTGCCACCATTGTGTATGCAAGTATTGAGATGGATTTATAAGACGAATTTCACCAAACAAAGGCTAAAATAGAAAGAAAGCATGTTCAAATCTTTATGACGAAAATACGTTTGTTAATGGCGAGCAATTTTTACTAGTCGATCGATTCATTGTCGAAGAGAGAACAGCTAATAGCCAACGTAAAATAATTAATTAAAGAGTTTATTTGATAAGATCCTTTTTTCATTTACTTACATCATACTGATGAATTGGAGATTGTCTTGGACGAATTGAAATACTATTTCGTATAAAAGTTGTGCCATTTATTTGTTCTGCGAATTCCATTAATGGATCAATGTACACACCGGCTTGATCACCAAATATTCTTAGATGTATTCCTGTTTCTTTTTCACTTAATCTACAGAAATAAAAAGAAGTTGAACATAGAAGGTACTGTATCCCCTGGATCGTGAATCTATTTTCTACTTACTCAGCGATGAAATTTTTTCCAATTCCATAACGATTAATAAAATAGAAAGTTTTTGTTTCATTCACTGCTTGTTCAGGATTAATTGGTACTGATCTAAATCGTTTATCTCCCGTATCATTAGCATATTGTTTTGGATTTGCAACGCGATTCGCATTTACTTTTATTTGATGAGTTTTTATATCACCATAACCACGTAAATTAAAAAAAACATAATTTGTCATATCAACCAACATTTCACGATTATCTTTCATTGGATAAGCTATATAGGTAATAACTAGTTCATTATTTGGCAATAGTTCGTAAATTACTTCGGCTTGACGTTGTTTTGGATAAACAAATCGAACACGATTTGGATTTTCTTGGTCAACATGTATTATCCAATTTTGTTCATTTGAATTGAAAAATGGATAATCCGATGGTAATTTATCAACACCGTTACTGACAAATTCGGGATCAAAGCGAACAGAACCAAATGGGTTCAATGTTTCATTATTATTGAAATGTAAAATAATTGATCGATAACCACCATTGTGACCATTTGAATTATTTGGAATAAGAATATCATGAATTTTTGCACCACGGCGAGCCAGAGTAACTGTAAAATTATTTTGTGTCAAATTATAGTAAGGTACGGTGATTGGCTCATGCCATTGATCATCTTTTGCTACATAAGCAGGATAAATTATTGGATGATGATTATAATCACCATTGAGCTCAAAATGAAAAAGCAGATTAGTCATTTCTTATAGAAAAGCTTGTCACCGTTGCCCTAGAGGGCAAAAATATGAAAACTTTCTTCATAAATATACGCATAGCCTAATGAACATAGTGAAGAATCGCTATTGAAAGGAAAAATATCCTCATTTAAACGTATAGCAAATAACTGACATTTAGAAAAAGATTCAAAAATTACAAATAGAAAATGGAAAAACTCGACTCTTGTCGTACGTTTCTCAAGGATACCTGGCACTGTTCGTCCGACCGCCTGTAAAGAGGTGTAACAAAAAGTGCAAGAACAGCTTTGCCTCAAAATCTGCTTAAAACTTCATTTATCATTTTTCATGAACGAAAGCCCCAAAAGTTCTCACAAAAGGAAAACGGATCCACACAGGTAAAGAGAGAAATCCATGAGTAAATTGCTGACACACTTCTAACCACTGAAGTCTAAGTCGAACGAGACATTCGATCAACTGTTCTGTTATTAAATTTGAGCTCAACCCCTCAGTTAGTTCCGTAAGCATGTAAAAAGGCAACAGACGCGATTTGTAGCATTTGGTACAGTTTATATTTACATCTTGAAGTTCATAAACGAACTATCTTCACTGTATATAATAGCACATATAGAAATTTGTTTATATATCGCTTTCGGCAAGTGTCAGCTTATTTTTGAAAATGAATAGCTGATTAGTTACAGTGCCCAGACAAATATCTGGTTTATTTATGATTTTTTTCTTCTAGAAATGCATATACTTTTTGTTTCATCAACAACATTTACCATTATCTATTCTAGGTCAATCTAACAGCTTTATGATCACAATACAACATTATTATATTGTCTATTTAATACAACATTTTCCTGAAACATGGATTTGTGTGTGCTATCCAATTACTTTTATACATGGTTGAGCTTTTTTCTACCTACTACAACACTTTTAGTTTTGTTAACAGATTAAGATAATTGAAAAAATAACAAGTTTTTGAAACGTCCATTTTTTATAATTAATATTATAGACTCTTATATTAACCTCATCATGACATTAATTATACAGAGAGTATCTCTCTATATATATATATGCTGATGTACATTTGCTTTTTCTTTTAAATGAAAGAAAATGTTTATCTTTATAAATTGAGCAGAAAACATTGACTAATGTAAATAAACAAACACATTCGACTTAAAGCTAAACAAAAAAAATAAAATATCTATTCACAATTTCGACATAGTCGTCCTGAGCACTATCAAATATATGCTTTTTTTTATTGACTAAATAGAAAATACTACGATAAAGTTAGCCAAATGGAAATATGTCATAAGGGTTTTTTAAAAGAAAAGATTTGACAACATACAACTAGAGGAAAAATTACTAAACACCAAGAAATAGTTTGAAAGATATTTTAAAACTTTTGATATTGAGAGAGGCAAATTATTCCGGTCAGGAGTACTGAAAAAGTATGAATATTTTATATTGGTGAGCGAGGTAAAAGAAACCGTAACGACAAGTGGATTTAAGGATTCATTGAGTCTTACAGATCTTCTAAAACATTAGAATGAACAATAAAATCATCACGGTTTAAAACAGATAGATTATGATATATACGATGATAGTTAACAAGACGAAAATAGAGATGTCTATTTTAAAGATTAGGAAGTTCTAGTTGTTGAACAAGATCAGAACTATTTAAAGTATAATCAAAGAAGGGAGACCACTTTTCCTTGATTTTAGCCCACTGTTTTTTCAATTTAATTTTGATCGAATTTTATAGAGAAAGCGATTTTACACATTTTTCAGTTTATCTAAGCCTTCATAATCATACAGAAAAAGTTAAAATTAACTTTTCTGAGGTGATACATAAAGGATACCGGTGCCAAACAAAAATGATTCTATTCAAAATCTAATATAAAGTTACGGTAAAGCTTGATATAGAAAAATAGCCGATGAAAAACTGAACAAAATGGTATATGAATCATAGTTACGTACCATATTATTAAGGAAAAATGGTTTATTTTCAAGCATCCCCAATCTAGTGACCATGCTTCAGTGATCATATTTTCCCATTTTCTTCCATAAGCAAGAGAGGATCCAACTAGTCTTCAGTATAGAAAAAAAACTCTTGAAAAGTAATACAATATTTTGAGTAAACAAACTTTATATATCATGGCTCAATCCATTATAATACAAATACGAGAAAAATCAAGGAAATGCACTATTTTTTTTTTTTTGCTGAAAAATCGAAGTGGTCTAAAAATTCCGAAACAAAGATTGTTCAATGCAGTTTTTAACGCTGATTCGAAATACGATGTTGGTTATGAGAAAAAAATTGAAATTTGATGATGAAAACTGCAGAATATAAGTGCATTTCCTTGATTTTTCTCGTATTTGTATTATAATGGATTGATCCAATTATATGTAGACTAAGTGTGTGATTGACTAAGGAAACTAACTAAAAAGAAATATGATGCTCGCTTCAATTTAAAATTTGAAGAGCAGTTTTGCTTAGCTAAGTTCTCGTAACAAAATATTATATCGTACAAAATGATGAAAAACATTGTGATCGTCGTGATTCGCTTTCGAAAAATTTCTCATCAAGATCTGCTGTACCTTCAATCAACCTGATACAACAAGAAGAGAACAAGCTTTCCAGACTAGTTAACAATTTCTTAACTGTGATTTGAAATTTCAATATCTATCCCTTTTAATTATCGAATATTCTCTTACAGCAGAAATATTAACTAATTCTCATGGAATCAAAGTACAAAACGTAATTTTACCTTATCAATATGGGCAATAATAAATGTTAATGCGCCGAGAAATAATGCAAAACACAAGATAGCAAGAAATAAACATAATTTGTTTAATCTTGTACAACTTGAATGAGATTTCTCATTGTGATTATTTTCATCATGATATTTTTCGACAACATCCATTGAGTGTAAATTCTTATGTCCATTTAGAATATCTTTAGATGTTATTTTTAGTTCATGAACATCCCCATTTGTATATGTTGGCGGTATGGTATTTTTATAGACAAGATCAATATGAGCTTCAACAGTACCATCGATGACAGATTGATTTTCTTGACCAGGAACAGGTACCAGTGGTTGAGAAAGAAGATTATCAATTGTACTATGGGTAGGTGAAGATGAATGATTTGGCGATATTGGTCGTGGATTTCCACAAGACTGTAGATTGAAGTCATTCGATTCTGGTAACATATTTGCCGACATTAATACAACACCATTATTACCATCCATCTTAAGAATACGAAATGATTTTAATATGACACGTGTAGGATTTTTGAAATTATATACACGCTACGTGATTGAATTTCTTTTCTGAACATCTAAAGGAAAAGAAAAACTCTGGATGACTTTGTGAACGTACACACATTTCCTTTGTTTTATAACGGACGGACGTTGGGAAAGAGAGAGAGAGAGAGAGAGAGAGAGAGAGAGAGAGAGAGATTTTGGTATGTAGAGGAAAAAGAATCTCTATAATAAATTTTCAAGGAGAAAAAGACTAGAGCAACTGTATCATACAAACTATCTAATTTTCAAAAGTATATCATACAGAAAAGAAAAAGAACAAAACTTATAATGTAATATCAAATAGAAGGAGGATGAACTTCGAGCGTTTCTGTGGTCACTAACAGCGGACGAGTATTTTACATTTTTTAAATGGAACTATAACAATAAGCTCAACCTTTTCTTTCCCATTCTATTTAATAATTATTTTTTGATCTTCCAATAGAACAGATATAGATGTTCAGAGAAATTATTTGAAAATTAAGAAAGAATAGGGGGAAACGTAGAGTAACTAGTCAAATGTATATGTGTACGTGATACCATATTCCAATCTATACGCATCAACTGTCAAATAAAAAAGAAAAAAATTTAAAGGATTCTTTACAAATTTCGATGATAACTAGATAGTTTATTTGATCTTATGCCGTTCGAATGATTGGAGGTAAAAATTAAAAGTTATACTGTTCTATTTCAAGTACGTAGAGGAAAAACGTACGAAAAAGCATATTTTATAATATATACATTATTATCAAAGATGTGACTTTAAAAGATCACGGAAATAGCATGCTTTCGATGCGCGATTGCTAGAGTTGTGAGAAAAAACATACATAGGGTTTTGCGTATGAAACATTTAGTTTTTTAATGCCAAACCCATTGATAAACTCACGAAAAAAATCCAATTAACAGTAATTTTTAGAGAAGCATGGTTGAAATCTTGAAATAGTTTTGAGTGCATCAAGTGATCATATTCGCCTACTGATGTATATGCTGTTTCAAAGAAGTTACAGAGTGTAATATTCACATCATAACTGTATGTAACAATTTGCTCATTGTTAATTAGTCAATACTTTATTCAAACTGTCTACGCTTAGACCAACCAAAACGTACTTAGTAAGATATCTATAATTCGAGATCTAGGCAAAGTTTTTGATCACATGAACGAACCCAGATCTAACATCGTTTTTTTATGATCCTTTCTGTGTTTAAACTGTAAGCGACATCGTCTGTTTATTCAACTGTTGCCAACCAGAGCTCAAAAACATGTTGTTCCCGTGATCAGTTCTCATTTGTCTTATTATCAGAGGACTTGATGATATGAACATCATTATATGTGAAAGGAGAGGGGCCGTTTTGTGATGAAATCGGTCCGTTAACCGAATTCAGTTTTATTCATAGGGCAGGTACAATGTGGGTAGCGGAGTCGAACTTGGAATCTTTGAAACCTTAGAACTACTTCTCAAGAGAAATTTTATTACTTAAATATTTTCTCGTCTCGAAACCTCATGGAAATCGTACTTATTATGTTTCGTCGTTCCATTTCACAGTTAATCATACCTATTATATACCACTCGAAAGTTCTTTTCCTCAGCAACATTTCTGAATATAACACGTTGAAAACTAATTGCATTTGAGCAGAGAAAGAACCGAAATAGCATGTACTACTATATAAGATGGGAGATCTGTTCTACATGGCTGCAATCTTATGGTTATATTTTTGCTTTACGCTACTTCACTAAATATACCATCTGATAGAACGTTTCCCAGGCTAAAATCTGGTATATAGACATTTGAAAAAAAGTGTAACAGTATAGGCAGCCGATGAATTTTAGCGCTTCCACAATGAATCGAATCTGATTCATCCATATGAAACCTACCACTATTACATCGACATTCAGTGCCAGCGACGACGCTTAACTCATTTTGTAGAGCTCGACGAACCGTAAGTTGAAAACCGTAAGTCTCCAAGTGACTCAGGAAAACATTTATTAGCACGTCACTCTTTCAGGAAAAATATGCACTTTTCGTCATTTTCCAGCGGATTTGGCCTAACTTGTGAAACATCTCCTAACTGCATTCCCTAATGTAGACCCTTGAGCTTAGTTTCATATGAAAGAGTGCATCAAACTCTACATAGTTCGATAGAGAAGATTTATGCGACACGTCTTAGTTTCGAGAAAAGGATTTCTAAAAAAGTCGGTTTTCTAGAAAACCTAACAAAACCTAACTATACCATTCAGAAACCTTCTAATCATCTAAAACATTAGATAGCCCATCTACGATGTTGGACGATTACGTGTTATATTTAGAAATGTTGCTGAGGAAAAGAACTTTCGAGTGGTATATAATAGGTGTGATTAACTGTGAAATGGAACGACGAAACATAATAAGTACGATTTCCATGAGGTTTCGAGACGAGAAAATATTTAAGTAATAAAATTTCTCTTGAGAAGTAGTTCTAAGGTTTCAAAGATTCCAAGTTCGACTCCGCTACCCACATTGTACCTGCCCTATGAATAAAACTGAATTCGGTTAACGGACCGATTTCATCACAAAACGGTCCCTCTGCTGTCACATCATTATTATGAAATCATTTCTATTTAGTTTACCTACACTCACTTACAAAATACTAAACACATGTTAGCAATGTAGATTTATTTTTTTAGTAGTTGTTTTTAATCTTTCTATAGCAATCCTATAAAATTGTTTCACACACAGTCTTATCAGATTTATACGATTCAGTTATTGTGCGAATGACTGTTTGTAAAATGTTGCGAATCTCTTCTTTTCCATCGTTTTCTCGACCTCAATTACTCTTAATGACTGTGTTCTATTAGTTTATATAATACTATCAAAAACTCGACAATTTGATTTTATGATCTACGATATGTGGAGAAAAATCACTTTTAACTATTAAATTATTCCATACTATTTGTATACGACATAGAGCCGATTTGTTTAGCTCCTCATATGAGCACATCATATGTACATATAAAAATGAACTTGTCAAGTGAACGTTTATTGTTAAAAAGCCATTTTTTATCTTTGAATTAAAATATATAAGACGAGAAAGAATAAAATGCAGACTGAGGGGTATTCTGTATCGTTCTTATTATGAAAAAAGATATTTGACAACGTCTTGCTCAAGAAATTATTTATTCAACTGAATTGAAAAGAAAAACATTAATTTTCAAAGATATAAAAATTGTTTATTATATTGTAAGAACAGTATAAAAAAATACTTTCTAGTACAGATAATTATGTATTACTGAAGCGCACGAAATGTAGTACATCGGCGAAGAAATAAATGAACTATAGCAATTGAATAATTATTGAGAAGATACTGGCTAACAGTAATGATAATTAAAAGTTCTTTCTATAATGCTGTATTTAGAATGTGAATCGATGTTAAAATCAATTGAAATTAGATCTATTAATTTAAAAAATAGAAGCATATTCTATATATAGTATGAAAATTCATGCGACGAAAAACATTACTATTTCATCTATTATAGTTAAAGATACCCAGATCTGTTTCCTTTGTGGTAGTTGACAACGGTTGTTCATTAAGATTAAGATTAAGAGATAGTTTGTGATAGTTTTAAACGTCATCTTCGCCTGTATTCATATCATAATTAACAGATAGTAATGTATCTGTTCTTGGTCTTGTTTTTGGGCCTTGAGCTATTTTTTCGACGGTATCTAATCTTGTACCTAATGTATTGCTATTAGCCGTGTATTCACCTATTAATCGAGCTAAACGAGTTTCTAAATTGTCAATATTTATTTCTAACTGGCTAATTTTATCCGGTAGTTGTAGTTCTTCTTGTTTGGCTTGTTGTGCTGCATCTTCATCCAATAAATTATCTTTTCTCAACAAAGCTTTACCTTGTTCAAGTAATGTGTCACGAGCTGATGGATATTCAGCCAATACTTCCCATAAATCTAAAAGAACAGAAAAAGATTTGAGCTCTTGCCAAAATACTGCTAACGATGACTACCTTGTTTTGTTAGTGAAAATAAATCTGAATATCCCACACTTCTAATATTCGCTGTTCGTCTATTTCCATTTTTACTACCTAAACACATACGAACACAACAAAATAGTTTTTAATTATCTTGAACTATATGATTCTACTTACCGGGTATATTTAGAATAGCTATTTCACCAAATACACTTCCTTCATTTAATGTGACAAACACGGTTTTACCATCATCGGAAACAACGCCTAGACGACCGCGTTTTATAATATACATTTCTTTACCAATATCACCTGAACAGAACCAATTTATTAAGAAAAATAACAAAATTAAAATATCAGAGCTTATACCTTTTTTGCATACATAATCATCAGGACTGTATATCTGAAGTTTCAATCGTGTCACCAATTCAACCAATAAGCCAGGTTCTGCATTAGCAAAAATTGGCACACGTTTCAATGTTGCTAAATGGACATAAATTGCTATTTCAACACGAAGTTTTTGTGGAAGACTTTCAAGTACATAATCTTCATTGGACACTTGTTTTTGTGACCATAGATAGTCAAACCACGTAATAACACGTTTTTCGAGATCCTTTCCAACTTTTCGAAATTCCATATATTGCTTAACTTGATCAACTTTTTGTCTAAAATCTGCTCTTACTGCATTCATACTAGCAATTATACTACCAACATTCCCGACGACTATAAAATAGACAAGGAAACTATTAGTGCCATGGTTAGTGGACTTCGAGGTGTGATGCGGGTACACAGCGGGAGATTTTACCTTCTTAGACAGAAATATTCGTCTTTATTAGCAGTAGCAGTAATTTCTGTCTTAATATTGCCAATTACCATTCAGACTATGCCAGAGACGGGCGAGTCATCACTTTTTCGAGTCCGAGTCAGTAGCCTTCGGGTCGAGGTCTGAGTCCGACTCTCATCAAAAATTGACTCGAGTCAATCTACTTAGAATAACCTTACATCTCTCGTAATATATAACAAATATAATAAACACCGTCATAACAATCCCAAGTTGCACATGACTGGCTCGAAAGTGACTCGAGTCAGTTTATCAAGTTTATCGAGTCTTCACCTCAAGTCCAAGTCCGAGTCCGAAGCATAGACACTTTTCTTTGAAAGCTTCTCGTCTCCCGATCACGCGAAAAGAACAATTCCTTTCTGCTGATAATAGATACTATAGATAGATGAACATTCTGGCACCGTTTGAGCCAAATCACTGCACTGAACACTTTTGTCCGAAACAGTTTTGTGATTTAGTAAAAAAAAGTGAAATATTCCTACTCCACCTTTATTCTAGATATCAGTCCCTATTGTGGAAGAATGTTCATCAAATCATGAGTTTATTCTCACTTACTTGTTGCAAATATTAAAACGCCGACAAGAAAATCGGCTGTTACAAATAGTATTTCAATATCGGTCTCGGGCGATGGTACTTCACCGATATTTGTTAGAACAAGTGTTGACCAGAAGAAACAGTATAAATATTGTGTTTGTAATGTTGAACCTGTTGTTGTTGTCATATTGTACACCCATCCATCTGACGAATAACCAATCCATCGACTCATAATAAAATAGAAACAAGCATTCCAATGTATAATAATAAGAATAATAATCAATAACGAAACAAGCCGAAATATATTTGGATGATTTGTTTGTGTTTCAACTTTATCCGAAAATTCAAATACACGATACATACGAAATAAACGGTTTGCTCTCAAAAATGGTATCAAATGTAAACTAGGTACAAAATAAAATAAATCAGTTGGTATTAACGATATAACATCGAGAATAAACGAACGACTTTTAACATAATGTAAACGGAGCTTTTTCAAATCACGAACTAGTAAGCCTTGTTCTAAATAACCTATAGCAACAAATGTAAAACAACAATTTAGGTAGGTATTTTACAAGTTGATCCATAATCTGTTTTCTCTATTTACCTTTTCTTGTTTGTACAACAATATCAAAAATATAACATATATCGCATAAATAATCAAATATTAGCCACAATACTAACAGTTTATTTTGTAATAATAAAAATGCAGTTCTACCGATAAGTAAAATGAAATTATAAATAACAGCTAATGAAATAACGGCCGACCAATAATAATAAAAGTTTTTCGATGGATCGACAATCCAAATTTTGCTGAAATAGGAAAAGATAAGGTATATTATATATTATTAATTATTATGTAAAATGTGTGCCAGAAACAAACCTATTTTGATCTTTAAGTAATGTATCATGAGCAGGGGGAGCAATTTTTTCTACAGAAGAATCGCTTTGTGGTGGATTAATTTGTTGTTCACGTCGTCTCATCCATTTACGGAAACGCTGAATTTAAAAAAATATCAAATCAAATCCTTTTTATATAAATTTACTAATTATTTAAACTAAAAAGGATGAAGAGTTAATCAAAGGCTGGGTTTGATTTCTGCAAAATGGTAATGATGTTAATCTTCTAGAAAATTGGCTTGAAAGTGGAATCGAAGCGATAAACTGTATATTATACTATTGTTCGAATGCCAGAACCTTTAAAATCTTGTTCAAAAAATCACACAAACTAGAAAAATTTGATATTACAGAAAGGCAACAATGAACCTAAAAGAATCGTAAGAATGAATACGATAAGTCAGACAGTTATACGGATGACACAGATAACATGCATAACAGATAGTCAAATTCGGACAGTATATCATACAACTTGTTACATTATTATACTTACGCCAACAAAGCGTAGTCTACAATGGAATTTAAAATGTGCGACTTATCTCTTATCCTTTCTAATGTAAAAAAATATATTTAACGGGATTTTTATATACCCTTGAATTTCGTACTACATTTATCAAGGAATTTAATTTGTCTTTGACATGGGATTTTTGCAGCGGTGTGTCAACAATTGTTAATATTCCATTTTTATTTATGGACGGAGCGCCATTCGTTGTGTTCAATGGTTTTCGTTGTTCTTCTATAGTAGACATCTTTCAATTCATTTAATAATTTAATTAAACCTAAACATAGAAACAATATGAATGAATAATTCAACCCATCAAAATCATAAGGTGAAAATCGATTTAATGCTTCAAAACGTTTGGTCGCGTTGACTATAATTAGTGAAGATTAATGTCTGTACCGTGGAAACACTCGAACAATTGAAGTGGACTTACGCTCATAACAACAACGGTAAAATAAAGATAGGTTCGCTGTTGTTGGATCCGTTCTTCCATATCATATTTTGAAAAAGGAACATATGGATGAATATGTCTATTTCTTTTCTTTTAGTAATAGGCGTTTTGATATAACTCGCAATTTAATATTTGTATACAAATTGGTTATAGATCATTGACAGAAAACATTTAAAACAATTTTAGAAAAAAATTCTTGTTTTACAAACATTTTCTTTCCCTATTGAAATTTCTTGTATCCAAGATCTTAGGTTTAGAGATGTCACAAGATCTTGAAAAAACACAGCAAGAAATCAAGATCTTAACCAACATTTCTTGAAAACAGAAATTTCAAAAACCGAGTCAAAATGTTCCAGAGTATTGTGATAAAATTTCTTTACATTTTCTTTCTTATATCATTAGACATCTTATTATAGGTGGTCATAGGGTCATCCTTGAACAGCTATGCTCAAGAAAGAAAATTATTTTGAGCATGAAAATCTTTGCAGTTATATGTAAGCAAGCGTGTGAAACAAAACGGTGATTCAAGAATTACCAAAATCTTGATACACTGAAGACATTTCCAGAAGTCAATCTCTTAGTCACAAGAAGTTTTACTAGGATTAACAAACAGAGAGAGAAAGGAATAACAATAGTAAATGCGTTTATAGCAACAAAAGGACGAAATCATTTCGTCCTTTTGTTGCTATAAACGCATCCGTCATCTGTCCTCTGTCAATTGACGGAATTTTGACAGAGTCAAATAGTTCTGTGTTTTTATTTGAAGTTAAAAAATTTCATTTAATGTTGCTCAAAATGATTAATTAAAGTTAATTACATTTCGATCACAAGTTCGAATACACAATTTTCAAGAGAGATTTTAAACATGTAACACTATTTTTTTCTGAACGTGTTGTAGCTTTTGGTCGAGTTGACCACTTTTGTTTTCTGTTTTTTAGACACTAAAAATCGTTTAAAATCCGATTTTGAGTTCATTCGATAGAGAATCCATTGCTCTATGAAACTGTTGACTTTGTTTTCTCAAATAGTTTTTTCTTGTCAGTGCAAAATTTAAAGGATTAACACCTCTCAACCATCAACTGCGACGGTCAGAAAATGAAAAAATGATGAAATTTTTTAAATAATGCTTCCGTTGGAATTTCAAATATACCACGAAGTTCTCCGTAAAATTCTGCATCTTTTGATGTATGTTTCAGAAATTATATGTTTGCGGACGAATTCATATATTGCAGAATTTATATGTATTTTCAGAAGAAATATTTGTGAGAAAAATCTTTAAAGTAAAAAAATGTGAAAACACACAAAAAATCCTTTTCTGACAGATCTATGCCATTGTTGTTTTTTCGATCGAAACAACCTAAACGTTTTCACTGTTCAGCACAAAATTTTCTGTCTGTTGATGTTAAGTACGTTACTTTTAGCATTGGACTTGATAAGCAGAGGCTTACACAAATCCATAAATGTCTACAGAAAACAGGAGATCGCAGTTGGACGATTGAGTAGGTGTTAATCTTTAAATTTTGTGCCGACAAGAAAAATTGATTTGAAAAACAAAGTCCACAGTTTTGTAGAGCAATGAATTCTCTATCAGATGAGCTCAAAATCGGGTTTTAATACGATTTTTAGTGCCTTAAAATAGGAAACAAAAGTGGCAGGTTTATGTTCTATTCAATAGAATAAATCGGATTTTATTTCATCATTTAATAAAGAATAGTAAAGCACATTTTCTATTCTTCGACAAGTCATTGTCAGAACAATGGCTTTTCAACATCAACACCAATCTATATAGATGTTTTCAACAAGAATGAGAATTTTGAAAACGTATAAAACGTCTTTTAACTATTCAAGTTCATGAGTTTGCCACTTACAGTAAAACTGTTGTATTTTACTATTTATTTCTAAAATTATAATGCAAATGGTATATTCCAGATTGATCGACACACGCTTAAAAACTATTAGTATTTTTTTTTGTTCGAATTACTAACCTGGATTCTATCTGTCTTTTCTCGTTTCTCATCGATTAACAAAATATGTCTTTAGTAAAATTGGTTTAAAAAAACACAGTGAAAGAAGTTGATGAGTCAGAGAATCCTATCTCTCTTTATATTAACTATAGGGTATTATTTGACATGGAAACGTTAACAAGAAGTAATGTTGAGAAAAATAGAAAAAAAAGTATACTTTTTTCAAACGGAGATAATTCATGTGACAATCTATTCTTTTGTTTTCCTTTCTTAAACTGCAGATATTTTATCTAAATTTTTCTGTATCTTATTACCGACACATTTTATTCGTGATTGAGCTGCTCACGTAATTTATCTTCACAGAAGTTAGTTTTTATTATATTCCAACAAACAGGAACGTTATACATTACCTTTTTCTTAATCAAATTGAAGTCAAAACCAGTTGACACAATTTTATTACTAGTAGTATATACAAAGTTTAAATAGAAGAATAACAAAAGAAAAATATTTCCTACACATCCACAAAGCTTCGCGGAAGGGTGTAATTATGAGCTGAAGATTAGAGAGCATAAAACAGAATTTCTGTCCTTAGTAGTATGAAATCCATAAAAAGGTAAGCTATCCGCGGTAGAATAAGAAAACAATAGCAACAATTTTTTCAATTATTCAGAGATGTGCATCCTCCCGCTATTGGCGATTCTGATTATGCATTATATTTCAAATTTAATAAATATCTCTAAAATTAAGAGTACTGCACCTTTTGAAATGACGTTTTCTTTCTACATTTATCATAAATTCTCATCGGTCTTTTGTTGCTCATCACTGTCAGAGCGTTACAAAATGTTTCTAAATTTTGCTTTGTTTATGAAGCCTATAGTCGACTTTTTGGCCACTTTTGGGATCACTAAACGTGTTCAAAAATTACAACAAGAATAAATATGTTTTGATTGTGTTTCTTCTCCCAAAAGAAATGAAAAACAGAAATAAACGTGTTTTAAATCAATAAGCGGAAAAAAAAGACAAAGACTAATCAGCGTATTTATTTCCGTTTTTATATTTCAAAGCAGCAAAAAATGAGTTTTTACAAAAAGAAACAGATACAAAGAAATTTTGAAAGACGTGAATATTATCAAACGGGATTCAACACGAAGAGGGAAGAAATTGTGTTAGTGGTTTCTTCATTCTACAATATAAAACGCGTTTAAATGCATTTTTTTTAAAAAGTTTTTGCACGAATCTGTCAACAGGGACAAGAATAACGACATGAAAATAAGCATTTTTTCCCGTTTGTGGTTCTGAAACGCGATTTGATTTGAAAAACGGAAGAAAACGTAGTTAGAAAATACTTTTGCATTTTATTCTTTATACGGTGCACACCACGATTTAAGATGTGCACTTTGAGCGATCCACATATGAAACAAAAAAGAATATGTCCTTTCATTTCCTCCGTTCTTCTTATCGATCTGTAGAACGCGTTTGTTTCTATTTCTCGAAAGCGTTATTAATCGGTTTATGATGACTTATCGAACATTTTTTTCTTTCTCCCACTGCCACCCACTCCCATAATAGATAGTGCCACTGCCACAACTGGATTTGCTCTATCATGGAGCGGTTTCCGATTTTTGCTAGAGCGCATTTTTATGGAAACATTGAGTCTGAAATAAGTGAAATAGTGCATGTTATATAAATATGAATCTTACATTTAAATTTTTTGCACTAAACTTTTTAAAGTCAGTTAACGTTCAGATAAATTTTCAAAGAATTTTTTAGTACTGAATAGGCGAGACTTTGTTCTTTTAGATGGTATAATGCGCATTTTTGTGTCAGCTTTCCTAACCTTCTACAAAAACTCCTTTTAATCCCTATATATTCGAAGCTTTCGTTGTTCCACTTTATTTAAACACATACGAATCGAAAAGGTTTATTTCTAAGACTGAAGAAAGACTATGTATTACTTTTAGGTCTCAAGTACGAGAAATCATCCATCTCTTTTGTTGTGCATAAACTACTAGTATATGGAGAAATAGTTTTGTGAAAATATCCTAAGAAATTTTTTATTTTCTTCTTGATCTGTTAAAATATCGACATCAGCTATCCATCCCAAAGTGCAGGTTGCCATTTTTCGAATAACTCAAAAACAATAAAAGACAGAGACATGCGGTTTTCAGCAATCGAAAGACGACGGTTTAAGCCATGTTGTCACGTAGCAAAATCATCTTTTGAGAATATTTGGAAGATCAGTTTTCTAGAGGATCTTTGGAAAACCAGCTCGGCTTTCTAAAAACAGACATAGTCATCTAGCATTTTTTTTCTTGTAGATAAATAATTCGAAATGTCCGCTACAAAATGAGATCTAAGCAAAAGTTTAGTTTTGCTTGGGTCGGGCTCTACGAACCTTTTTCCCCAAGCCTTAGAACCTCTCTGTCGTTAGATTTAGACTGTTAGAAATACATGAAAAAATAGGTTGTCGACTATGCTAGATCTCGTGGCAATGTCAGTTTTTCAAAAAGTTTCAAAAACCTAGCGGAAACTTATATTAGATGAAATATCCCATTTTTGTCTATTTTGGAGTAAAATCGAAAAATTCATAGCCCAGTAATAAATCTAAATTATGTCAGAATATCAAGATGTACTCTGTTGTACCTGCTCAATACTATGCAGTTCTATAAAAGCTTTAAAAATCAACAGAAAATACTTCGGTTTGGAAAGATTTTCTAAAAGTCTTATTTCAAGTCAGATTTTTTGAGACTGAGCAATAAATTGAGAGAGATTATGCGGAGAGAATATGAGTGTACAGACCATTCTTTTATTTACTGTAGTTGCACTTAGTAATTCTCTCTCTTTCAGTAGCATTAGTTGTGAATCAATTAAATTCTCGATCATGTTGGACGATCTGAACACGGTCTTTGCGAACTTTGTCGAAACTTTAATTAAGTCGTGGCAATAATATACAAAGTTTCTTCCAAACACAAGCAATGGTGCAGTAGAAAATATCATTTTTTCGACAGACAAGAATGAGAAAAAGCAATATGCGATGTAAATGAAAAACTAAATCTTAATGTCCACTGAGAGTAAATTAATTGGGAGTCAGTAACAGACATCGTTTACGCTATTAGCGCATTAGTGTCTTTAGTGCGCTTTTATCCAATCGTGCTTCGTCATGATTTTTACTGATCTTTGATTCTGCATCACTACCACTAGTGAGTCACCGGGCTAATTCGCTACGCAGAAAAGCATGATATGAATAGTCAATACAAGGTAGACTGGGCATGAAATCTATAGATATATAAAATGATATGAACGATGTAAAACTTACATTGATGTTAGACATCTAGACGTTCCGTTACACCTAGTGTACTTTACTCTACGTTAAAGAAATTAGTTTTGACTGTTTTAAATAAATTATAGCGAATATGTGATACTTATTTAATCAATTACGGACGACATCTATTTCGATATTTTTTCTACATTTCTTTTGTAATGGAATTCGATGAATTAAATTAGACCAAGATAAAACAAACTAAAGTTTCCCTTCTCTTTTCTAGTTGATTTATTCTCGTACTTTTCAAGAAAAGTTCTTCAGACCGACTCCTGGTGGCACAGTTTCTATAAATTCAAGTTGGCTACTTTTGTATGGCTCAAGCAATTCACGGTAACTTATCTAGATCCTTTCTTGTATATCTTTTATATTAGGTAAACTGAAGCGACCTGGTATTAAAAAGCGTAAATAAACAGGTAGTTAAGGTATGCTTTGTAGAGTGATCAGATTTGTGCAAAAAAATTATTTGTGGCTGGAAGTCGTTTCATCAATATGATTAAGATCATGAACTTATAAAGACTTAAGTTAATCTTTAGTTTGTTTTAGTCGTTTTTCAGTACTGACTACTAAGAGTATTGATGGAGAGTCATCACCAAATCAGAAGTTAAACATTCAACTAAACTAAGAATTTAATGACAAAACAAAACTACACTTTTGAACGTTGACTGTAGTGTTATATGACATGACTGTAAACTTAGATACACTTAATGACTGATATGATACACAATCATGTTTTGTTCTCACTAGCTTATTCTAATCACTGCATGTCCGCCAGAGGAATGATGTCTTATGCCACTCAAAAAAAAATATCAAGAGGAGTATCATGGAGCACTCTTTCTGGAAAAAAAAGAAAGGAGCACTCGTTTTGGGAAAAAGAGTGCTCCAACTCAAAAGGAGTACTCCAAAAGCTACAACGGAGTATCTACAAAAAATGAGTACTCCTGAGTACTGCTTTTTTTGAAGTGCTCCGTAGTACCTCAGCTACACTTTATAAAAAGGAGTACTCCGAAGCACTCCAAAAAAGAAGTACTCATGAGTACTTCGAATAAGACTTATAGAATTATCACTTATTAGGCGTACTCATGAGTACTTCTTTTTAGGAGTGCTTCGAAGCACTCCTTTTTATAAAGTGCAGCTGAGGTACTGCGGAGCACTTCAAAAAAAGCAGCACTCAGGAGTACTCATTTTTTGTGGATACTCCGTTGCAGGTTTTGGAGTACTGAAATCAATGATGACAAAGTAATATAATTTGAAAAATATCGCACGATGAAAAGATCTTTGATTACAAGCCGACAAGTATATATTATTGTTCGGATTTTGTTTATGACAATCAAATCTCCGTGAGATAACTCTAATAGCTAGCCTTTGGACATACTCAATTAATTTTTAGATGCGCGATAAGTCTACAAACTGCATAGTCAGCTACTGATAACACAACCTATAACGGTAAATATCGGGACATGTTGGTCGATATATCGCGAGGAGTTACCGACTTTTTAGCATTTGAGACGACAGGTCGCGACATATTAATTCAAATCTGCTATGAGTGTCTTTTTTCCTAGTTTTTGTTGTATGTTGCAGCTTAGTCGTGTTGCCAACTGAAGTCAAAGTTCTAACTTCGATCAGTCTGCTTAGAACTTTACCTAGCTCTCCATTGCATAAGTTAATTTCCAGGAAAACCAGACATGGCCCCACTCGTGAAAAAGTAGTCGGACAGAGTATCAATTTTTCGTCGAGATCTGCGCTTAGTATATGTTTGATTCACTGTAACACAAAATGGTGAATGTATGGAAGCCTATTAGTGGTCAACTCGAGCGACTTTTTAAAAAAGATCAGAATCGACGACAAATCACGACATTATAAAAAATCGACGACTTTCAAGAAAACCTCGACATGCTGTCGATTCTTAAGCGTATCGCGGCATGTCATCAAAATTCAAGCGACTTCCTTCACACTGGAAGTTCTCTAAATCCGGTCACAGATAAAATTAGTAGCCTAAAATTAGCCCTAAAAATCATATGATACATCCGAGGTATTGTAGGTGTTTTAACTACTGTTTCAGTATGATTTATCTAATGGAGATTTGATGACAATTTCATGCCAAGTAATTTGATATTGTCCTCTCGCTTCGTGACTATGTTATTGACGTTGAGAACACAACCATCGTAGTAATTATTAAAAAATAAAAATCCAATTCGCTCACATTTTTTACACTCATTTCCATTCCATTTTACCAACACACGTATCAATTGTTTCTTAATCTAAGGGTGTTTCGGTGTAGTCTGCAATTTTAACGATCATAAATACATCATCGCAGTTGATAAGTGAAAACTGATGCTCTCCATAGTTTTATTAAGTCAGTTCTGTAAAACGATAGACTAAAATGAAGTACCTATTGATTAGTCTGTGGTTAAATCCATGATGGTAAGAATATTGATGAAACGCGCTCCATGCCCATAAAAATCTTGCATTGGATGAAAACATGAAGATGACTGTCGTCCGCACACTGAGAACATAATAGTTAGAACAGTATAGTTCTTCACGTAGCACAATTGACTAAAGTCTTTGAGTTTTACTCTGTACTCATGCCGTATTTACTAGAGTCATCGAAAGAGAATAATTGCACAAGCAATGAATAACGCAGTAAAGAAAAGTTTGTTCTGTTTTTTCGTTAAAAAGATGCCAACTGTAGAAGAAGGAAGCTGATAGATACCATAGCTTTTTTGCAAATTACAAATTGGACAGATGTTTTATTTTCAGAGTTTGGAAAACGACTAGATGAGGTGAATTCATGAACTCGTTATGGCAAGTGCAAAGTCAATTGTTCATACTTCCACGCTGAAACCAAATGTTGTGTCAAAAAATTTGATAAACGGTGCATGGGCGTTAAGATGGCCAGAAGAAAATACTAAACCTGTGGTAATAAAATTGCTTACAGTTGGCATTAAAGGTATTTGAAAATATTTCTCTTTCTTAGGCACCTATTCTTGTTAATCTCCATATTGATTCGAAAGGTTATATTTTGTTTTGTCTAAACAAAGCAACAAAGGTAAATTTATTTAATACGCGATCTAAATATAATTTCCATACTAAAAAGCAGGAACTAGTATAAACAAATTACCGATTTGTATCCATTTTAGGAAATTGAATGTTTTGATATAGCATTGATCCACGACACGCGTACTGGAAAATATATAATCCCACCAAAGGTTTGATGTTTTTCTTTTCTTTGATTGTAATTAAGTAGTTTGATTGTTTTTCTTAAAGGATGCAATCAAATGTGAACAAATGAATATTGGTGCTGATGTTCCAGTCCAAGATAAATGGCTTACAATTTATTATGGACATACTTTTGTACCTGATAGGGAATTACGTGCTATCCATTTCTGCTTCGAATCTCCCAGTTTAGCCAAGGTAAACTTGGATTTTATATTAGCTTTGTATAGAATTTTAACTTTTGTCTTTTACCTAGGAATGGGCTGATGAATTATTTCAATATGCTCGAAATCCTTTTCTTCGAAATTTATCGGCATTAGAGTTATTAGAAAAAATTCATTCGAAAATTGTCAATGGTCTGGTGGAAGAAGTTCGACAAGATCGACAAGATCGGAAAGAAATTGCAGTTCGAACGTAATACTAAAACATCAATTTAAATAATGTTTAATTTTGCTTCTTTCTTTTTATTCTAGTATTCTTCGCATGTTCTGTAGAAATTCACGAGAAACAGAGAGAGAACAACGAATATTAAAAGCATTAGATTATATACAATTACCACATGAAAGAGTATGTTTTTCTAATGCTGTTGTTTTAGAATGATAAAATTTTTAAACTATTCTTTCGTTTTTTATTAAGGATTCTTGGATTGATCCAGAACAATTTACATTTGATAAATTTTTTAACTTTTACATGCAATTAATGGAAAGAAATGAAATTGATAGATTAGTTGAAAAAATGTAAGAACAAAAGAACAGATATAGTAGATTAGATTCGGGTAAAGTTAGATCTCTACTCTAACAGTATGTTATAGTGAAGGACATCTCTTCGAAAATTATATATACTCGTAAGTAGTTTTACAGTAATAGTGCATTTATCTGTTGTTTATCCATATTCGCATGTTTTTTTACCCTTCTATATGTCGAATAGTTAGTATTTTTTTGCTGTGAACTCTGATTTCTTAGCGATCAGAGATACTTCTTATTATCACAGTCAGTCATTCAGTTATGTGTAAAACGAATGATCGCATGAGATATTTATCAAAAAGGAGTAAGATTGTTATTTCTAGTTTTACGTGTAACTGTTATGCTAAGTAAATGAGTACAGCTTATTCAAGAACATTATTATAAATAATATTCTGATTTTAAGCATTATGAATCCTTATATTTTTGCATGAGAACGATGTACTTTTTCCAATAGTTTTCTTTTACATGCATTTTACTTTAAGCTATAGAGCGAAAAGTTGATTGTGATTATTTCTCCTTACTGTTAGTTTTGTTGTTGATCTGTTTAGTGGTGGCAAAAGAAACCGATTAATTACTCATGAAAAATTAAAAGCTTTCATAGAAAAACAATCTAAAACACGCAGTGATGATGCTGTTTATAATATCAACTATGATCAGAAAACAAGTGATATTATTAGAAAGTATACACAACATGATAAGCTCTTTAGTCAAAATGGTGCGTGTGTGTGTGTACGATATTAGTCTTCCGAACACGTCTATTTTGCTTTATTTTTTTAGAAAGCATGTGTGATGAATCATTTTTACGTTATTTATTGAGTTTTGATAATTTAGTAATCGATCCATCAAAACTTGAACTTCATCAAGATATGGATAAACCATTGTCGCATTATTTTATCGCGTCATCGCATAATACGTATTTAGTAGGTAAGCATTTATATTTCAATTCCTTCCGAAGAGTATCTAATACTTATTCTGTTGCAACAGGTGGCCAGTTACATGGACGTGCAAGTGTAGAAATGTATCGTCAAGTTTTATTAACTGGTTGTCGATGTATTGAATTAGATATACTCGATTCGCCAGATGGAGAACCCGAAATAAAACATAGAAAGACTATGATACGCGCAGTACCATTTCGTGATGTTATAGAAGCTATTGACCAATATGCATTCAAAGTATCGCCATATCCTGTTATATTGTCGTTTGAAAATCATTGCAGGTATACATACGAATAGTATTTGAGCATTGAAACGTGCAGTAATAAAAATTCTTATGCAAGAGTGTAAGAGAAGCCTAATACTATCGTACAAGAAAATTATTTATTTATTTTTTTTGCTGTAGCTAAATCTCTTTTTCTATTGATTGTTAGCGAACGTGTTCAATGGAAAATGGCCAACTACTTAACCGAAATACTTGGTGATAAATTGCTTACTCAACCATTGAAATCTCATCCAAATAAAGAAAATGTTCCATTACCAAGTCCAAATGACTTGAAAAATAAAATATTAATCAAAAATAAAAAGCTACGAAGTATAAAAACACCATATTCAATTGACCCTAATGTAACTGTTGGAAATCCATATTCAACGAACTTACAACAAAAGCGATTTGGAAAATCAGATTCAATACAAACAACTAGTAGTGACTATAGTTTTAATAGTGTAACACAGCCGACATCTCCATCCGGTTATTCGTCTGCTAGTTCCGCCCAGACATTCAATATGAGTCCAACAAATTCTGTTAGACGAACAGGCCGACATTTTTCAGATGTTCACCGGCATTTAGAATCAATCGAATTTGATATTAATAGTGAAAGTCCACGTTATGGTATCATTGTGGGTACGTAAATTATTAACTCATATAATGGTATTAACTTCGAGTTATCAACTAATTGCGTCTTGGCACGTTTTCATTTTAGATCCAAATTCAGATAGTTCAGATGAAGAGTTATTCGAAAATGAACATAACAATCTCCATGACCAATTAGCATCAAATCAAACTTATCCACTAACAACAACTGTAGCACCAGTGCCGTACTTGAATGAGGTCATGATCGAATCAAAGGCAACAAAGGCCATGTCGGATTTGGTCAATTATGTGACAGCAGTTCATTTTAAAGATTTTGTAATTGCAGAGAAACTTGATCTTAGTCATGAATGTTCGTCTTTTAATGAAGATAAAGGACAAAATTTAATACGTGAAAATGCTATAGAATTTGTTAATTATAACAAGAGACAATGGAGCAGAATATATCCAAAAGGAACAAGAATAGATTCATCTAATTATAATCCCTATACTTTCTGGCCTGTTGGTTGTCAAATGGTGGCATTGAATTATCAAACATTAGGTATGTATATACGATTGAAATATAATGTAAAAGTGTTTATTCTGGTTTGGATTTTTACGGTTATTAAAGATGATACAGTTTGTATATTGTTTCACTGTTTCTTCAAGATACACCAATGCAAATCAATTTGGGAATGTTTGAGTACAATAAACGATGTGGGTATTTACAAAAACCGGCTCCTTATTGTTTACGATCCGGTACATTTGATCCACATGCACACGTTAGCGTCGAAAATGTTGTCGTTGAACAACTTGAAATTAAACTAATTTCTGGACAGTTTTTGACACAAGATCGTGAACCAGCTTACGTTGATGTTGAAATGTATGGTATCTATGCAGATACAACTAAACGGCGAGAATATCGAATAAAATCAAAAAAATGGAATGGTTTTCAAGCTGTATACGATGATAGTGACGTTGAGCATGATATAACAATCAAATTCTCGAAAGTAAAAATTCTATTATAAAATACATTAAACATTCATATATTTTCTGCCCACTATTTCTTTAGATCAATTTGCCAGAAATGGCTGCTGTTCGTTTCGCTGCATTTGAAGAAGATAATATTTTCATTGGTCAAGCAGTTATTCCGGTATTAAATTTACGTTCTGGGTATCGCCATGTCGTATTGCGTAATCAAATCAATGTCCCAATTCAATCGTCAACATTATTCATTTTTATTCGTATAGACGTTCACGTTGATGATGCAAATCTAGATTTTGTTAAATTATTAATGAATCCCAAAATAGGTGAAGTAAAAAAACAGGCGTTTAACGAAATTTTAAATGATCAACGACAGCCACATCCAAATGGAAGTGATCAACCAAACATATATGATGTACAAATACAACAAATATTAAATCCATTAGTAGCGAAACGTTCAAAGTCAGCTGGAGATCTAAGAGGTCGTTTAGGCTCAGTTAATTATGAGCTAAGAAAAGATCCGTTTGGCTCCGTAGCAAATCTACATCATTCATCTATTACTGGTAAACGACATCCTTCATCAGCAATTATTGATGAAAATATTTATAAAATTCAATTTGTCCAAAATAGTCCATTGAACAATAAACGTTTATGTGATTGTTTGACAATTAAAGATATTTATCGAACAAAATTTTATATGCAAAAACAAGAAAAACTCCAAATGAAACTCCAAAAAACAGGAACAGTACAAGATAAAGTAAGGTTATTTTTTCTTGATACACTTTTTGCAGCAAACAAAATTTATCTATTTATATTATTTAGAAAATCGAAATAGAAGAAAAAAAATTTCGAAAAAATCTTCATCGTCAAAAAGCAATCAATGAGGTAAATAAAACGATTTATTATTTTAAATATTTGAAACATAAAGTCTGATATTAGAGTCATATTGAATGGTGTCGGATGTTAAAAATAGTGAGAATAGAATATTCGCTTTTAAGCTTATTGAAAGTTCAGTTAGAAATACTTAATTCGACAGATATTGACCAATTCTACCGGAAGTCGACAATTGTCCAAATATTTAAGCTCACTGACATTAGCAATGCATATCACACTGGTAGTTCAGAACATTGTCGGACAAATATAAACTTTTAAAAACGCGTGAAGGGGATTTCAGACTAAAAATTCATTCAAGAAGCATTTTTCAAATATGTTAATCAATGCAATTGATATAAGCTCTATTCTTTCAGAATACAAGCGGTAAAATATTCCATTATAGTATTCTAAACTAAAACTATCTAAAAACACAAAATGGATTTTGTACGAATAGAGATTCGTACACATGAATTTAGCTTTGTAGTAAACTGCAAGTCTTTTGCATAGATAGCGAATCTGACGTTTGCTTTGAAGTTCGGTGCCGAAAAGGCGACAAAATCCTTGAAATACTGCCCTAAAACCTACTTGGCTCCAATAAGGACTTCTCAAAAACTAAAAATATAACCGATAAATATAATTACTATCGATTGTCTTTGCTCCCGACACCGTGCCAATGTTTTAAAACTTTTTAAATCACATATTCTTGATTAAAATTTGATGCTCTTTCGAATGAGACGGATTTTCAAGTTTGTGGTAAAAGTTGTGAATAAAGTGGTCGATTTCCGATGGAATTGCTGTATAATGTGCTGTTTTACTCTTTGACATTTTCTGTGTTGAGCTGATTATCCGTTTTCATTGACGTATTCTAGTTCTACAATAAAATTGAAAAACATATAAATGCTTATTATACGAAACAAATTTCATGTGTACACGAAATCTTCAAACAGTAAGTAAAATAAAAAGATTATTTTGTTTAGTCTACGATTCGAAATAAATTATGTCCACTAAAATTTTATTAGGTGATAATAAGCTATTCTGACAAGTTTTCTTTAACGCTTTTTTCTGCACTGGACACAAAATTATAGGAATGAATGCATGTACCACGCATATTTAATGGATCTTGTGGTTTGACTTTGTTTGATAGTCAAAGAGACTGAACTCAATGAATGAAAACATAAGATTTATCTTCTTCAACATGCCACGATTAATCATCTGTCTGTACATTCATTTTTCTAGCTTATCAAACTTCATGATATGATCACTGACATGCTAATATACGCAAAATAATTTAATCTAATATAACTAAAATACATCCCAATGCTTTTTCCTTGCGTGAGTAATAGCTGATACACTGAGTGCTCTGCATCACTTTTATCCTGCACATTTATGTTTTGTTCACGTATCCTAATAATTACTTCAAGTTTTTTCATACTAGTTTATCCTATGTTTATTTTTGAACGAATAACACTATATGCTTGATTATTAGCTATATTTATCTATTCTTTTAATACTTATGCTTTTAATCTTAACTTTTCGCTCATTAGTAACTATTCTACATTTTTCAGCACGGTGGATTCTTATTCTTTTTGAAGGATGCACCCTTGCTCATATACCTTTACACACAGATTTTGTTTTATAGCTATCTTGCTGCATGAGCCTTGAATAGCTATAGTCTGAATCATTTTTTATGCATAATAAAGTCATATGAGTTAATTTATTGCTGTATTCATTAGATGATTCTTTTGTTTGTTCAATATTATATCATCGGATGCTCAATCAAAAGATCTAAACTTCTTTTCTTCTCTTCTTGTTTTAGAGAAAGTGCGAAAGTAAAAGATCAAGTAAGAATACAGACAAAAAGTGACACTAAAGAAAGATTATGGAATGAAAGAGATCGGTAAAAAGATACTGATTAAATGATTTCAGTTATAATAGTTATTTGTTCATTTTAGACAAAAACTATCTAGTGTAAGAAATAAAATTCGACAAATGAACGTTGAAGCTGGTGCTGTGACAATACGAAAGGTAGAGTTGTGCATTTTTGAAAAATATCTGACCAAATTTGAGTGCTTGAAAAAACAACGCATGAAACAATACTACATAGTTGTTGGAATCGAACACTACAACTATGAACTATAAAGCGATTTTATTTTGGACTGAATTACCCACAAACAAACTTGAAGTGTTCGATTCCTCATCCTGTGCACTGCTATAGTGTGTTCTACCCAAGGAGGAAAAAGTAGCACCTAATGCCGATTAGGGTGCTGAAATGTGCTAAAAGGTGCCGTAAGGTACTGCCTTGCAAAACATACGGTAGTGGGATCGAATCACACATTGCACGGATCCTTTCGTCTACGAATAAACGTCGAAAAGGAAGTTTGGCTGCATTTATATCGTACTCTTAAGAAGGCAACAATACTTCATTTTTGATTCAAATGGAAGCAAAATAATAAAAAAGACGTTCGTGCTCGGATTCGATCCCTTTACCCATCCTCCATCTTGAATTTTACCAAGCGAGAACGTTACTGGCAGACTAAATCGGTAGTTTTGGATGCCAAAAAGGTGCCGAAAGGTACTAAGAGGTGCTATATTAAAAAAAGTGCTTTTTCTCCCTTGGTTCTACCCCGCTTGCTCAATCCATACAGCTTATAACCTTGAGCTTCAGACACGGTCACCCATCGCCGTACTAACCAAAGTCTGTATACTCTTCGATGAATCTTAAGACAGATTAAATGTTATAGAGTAGAGACACATGTGACAGGGAGAGAGATACATAATACACTATCAAGAGAATGGAACGACTATAGATCAGCACGTGTTTTCAGAGAGAGTGACTGATGGGTTGGGCAGAGAAAATGACGCTACTTTGCAAAATTTTTTCTCAAGTTAAACTTGATCAGAAAACTTCATTTTTATGTTAAAAAGATAGAGAATTGTGTTTAGATTTTATTCATATGTTGTTTTAAAAATAAGCATGTTCCTTTATAACAGTAAAAATACTCGAAGCCACGAAAATCTCCAGTGCTCAACTGCAAAATAAGAAAAATTCGAAAATGCAATTTTTTCCTCTTAAGTATTTTGCAAAAATTTGATTCAAGAGAGATCGGAGTATCTAGCTGTGTGTTGCTTCGTATAAGTTTCTTACGCTTGTTTCTTACTGTTTTGTAAAATGGAAAATAGCAAAAAGACATATTTGACCAACGAGTTGGTACTTTATTTTGGCGACTTTCTCAAAGTCTTGACTTATAAAAATTGTTGTTTTTATATCACAAGATACAGAATTTCAAGCTCTACAAAACGCACTTCTTTCTATGGATTGCATCGTTTTGGTAAGAGATGATTGAGTTGAGATATTTTCCTTTAGAGGGAATGGCGCCAAACACAAATAATGACCCAATTGTTGTAGTCTGTTTTTACGGCTCTAAAACTTTGTCCAGAAATACGGTTTTGTGCCCCAGCAATTAAGAATTTATTATATTTTTTAGTACCGTGTTTGAATCGCGCGAGCAAAACGTCTATGAAGATACATATCATTTTTTTTTCAGTGGATTGGTGAGCAGTTGAGACTTCCAATTTTAAGTACAATGAAAAAAAGATTAAGATACATCTTAATCTAAAGACAACTATTAGAAGCTAGAGAAAATTCTGCGTCTTTTAAACTTAGAACGAAGTTTTGGAAGTTGATATGACTAGCCAAAGAATGAGTTGCAAAGTGACGTCATTTTCACTGTTCAACCAGTTACATACACAGAACAGATAAGCTGTATATAAATGTGAAATTATTGATTGTTATATAGACGCACACAACTGCATTCATAACTTTTTGATTAATGATTCTTTTTTTGCTTAAACCAATACTAATATATGTGTAGAGAAACACAATAGCAAGATTCCTATTTTTTTGGGGAAATCTTAAAATTAGATTATTGACAAGTATGCATTATGTACAGTGACGTTTGATTTCAAACTGATACTGATAAGCAAAAGTCTGTGTACTAAATAGAACAGATAACAAAAAATTCTATTACAGAATCATAACCCTTTCATTCACGTCAGCGTGTGATTGTATAACTTGAAGGGGCAACTTGTAAATTCATGTCTGTTATTCTATTATAGCTTGAAAGCATGCGCGATAAACTATGTGAAACTATAACAACAAATCAGATCAACACATTGGCATCCCTAAAACTAGAACGAGAATCGGTAAATACATGTTGAACATTACTTGTGAATAGCTGACGCATGAAATCATCTTCGATTTCTTAAACATCCTTAAAGAATATGAGTTGATTATTAGAAAATGGTTTTATCTTTAATGTTTCGATAAAAGATCTATTCTTCTATTTCGATGTAAATTTTGCTTTCAACTATTTTTACTTGGTAGTGCTTTTTCCTTATAAACTCATGCTGGAATAGTCTGTTCCTACAATATACATGGCGAAATGAGTAATCTTTTCTTGTATCGAGCCATTTAGAGAAGCATTATAAATATGAAGAAAGGATGCAAACGATTAGTAGTCTTTTTTTGAATTCTGTCGATATCTTTGCGTCTAAAGTCTCCGTCACTTAGAAATACTGTCCGATCTTAGTGACGTATCTGGCAAATGTTAGTCCTATCAAGATACATTTACAAGAAAAATTTGAGCTCGAAATCTTGAGGAAATATTTTTTTAAACTTTTCATTCTTTGATGTTTTCCCGCCGTCTCATCTTGAAAATCCGAAAATCTACGGACTACTTTTTTACATAAGACCTTTTGTTTTTCTCAAAGGTTGGGATGAAACTAAAACCGAACTGTGCTATGAAAGTTTTGTCTTTACTTTAACACCAACTGGAGCTTTATGGGGCATGGAATAGAGGACAGTCTTTATAAATAGCTACAGATCTGAATCAAAAAAGCGATCTTGCAAAAAGTTCAAACTACCTTTTTATTCGAAAAAATTCTATTTTTTGAGAAGTTGAATGTGAAAAAATGTACCCTATCTGGAAAATTTGTACATTTATTTTTGTACGTATCGACCATGTAGAATCCGATGATATTCACACATATACAATGTAAAAGGCCCTTTCACATCATGATCATTAAACTCGGAGTCTAATGGTTACTTATAACTATTTGCTAGAGCTCAAATATCAAACGTATATTGTGCGCTTTCTTTTGCTCTCTTCTCCGGGTATATTTAGACAATTTTAACTAATTGTTTTTTAGGAGACAAAAAATCGTTCTACAAAATACGCTGCGCCAATAAATGAAATAGAAACCTGCTTAAATTCTGAAATACACAGTGACGATAATTCATTAAACTCTTCAATGACCAACAGTTTATCATTGTCACAAAATGTTTTTATAACCGCTCACTCTCTTACATCGCCTTTATCAAATACTCTTCATTTACAATCAAATCCTGTTATTAATCAACAGCAGCAAGACTTATTTGTCAACACAGAGGATGCATCAACAAAGCTTTGAACTTGTGTGTGTGTATATGTGTGTGTGTGTGTGTATCAAGTCTTCTTTTACCGAATCTGATAAACCTTTTTTGTTCATCTTTGAAATCTTTCTAAGTACTTGAACACTGTTTGGTACTTCTTTTCTGACAAAAGTGTTATGTGCTACTTTCTTCCGTTGCCATACTTTTTATAAATCAAAAAATTGCAATCTTTAATATAACTATTTTTATACACTTAACAATTTTATTTTTACTGAATTTATTTTGTTTTGCTTGCATTTTAACAGTTTGCTTTTTTTGGCATATACTCTTAGCCTTCTATATTTTATTAAGCTTTTTCTTTTCAAAAGCTAAGCAAGAAAGAATTTTCATCTCGGTGATTGTGCTAAAAATGATAGAATTATTTAATTTTCTCGATAATAGTCATGTTTCATCTCTAATAATGATAAATTTTGTTTAGGATCTGATTTTGTCTTGCTGATGACGATTTTCTCAGTTAGAAATGAATGATCATTTTTGGTGTACTGTTGGCATCATGCCGTTACTTTTTGTCTTTCATCAATTAATGTCAAGTGTGATTTTATTTCCTTTTTTGTTGTTTATTATTTCTTTATAAGATCGTTCATGTAGTAGGAAGGTACTAAAAGGTAAAAATTAAGAGTTTCCTGACACGTCCTTAGTCTATCAAAGTGCATGGTAAAGTTAGCCGGTTTTGCTGATGTTATTGCATCAAACAACAGTTACTATTTTGAATAAACGAAAAATACGGGCTTAGTACTCTCTAGAAAAAAGTCTGTAGCTTACAAAACGGATATCGATTTTGGCATTTGTTCCTAATAGAAATCGCTATCCGTATCATATAGTCCTTTTTAACGTTTCGTAGGATACGCTTGAATGTTTTTCACGTCGTACAAAACCTTAATCCATTTTGACACGAAAAGGGCAACGTTCCAGCGTATTCTACGAAACGGTTAAACAGGATTATACGATGCAGATAGCGATTTCTATTAGGAACAAATGTCAAAACCGGTATCCATTCTGTTTGTTAGAGAGTAGTCTGTTTAAAGGAAATAAATATGTCTAGATCTCCCGCATCAGCTGTAAAGAGGTATTGCTTTGTGCGCAGACCTCAACGAATGAATTCTGTGATGTTTAAATATGTTGTTTGTTTGTGATGTGCTTTATTTTGGTTGTATCAAATAATTTTATTATTTTCTGAGCTTTTTTAATTTTATCTGTCTTCAATCGGACGGGCGTATACGTGACAGAAAATGATCTTTTATGCTTTAGACAATTATATTCGTTTATTTCGATTTATTTATTATTTTTTTGAATATTTTATTATTTTATATGTAATGAATTTAGGCTAATCTGAAAATAAAACCTAAATTCTCAACTGAACGTTATTTGAAAATGTTTTGCTATTGTTGGTATTCGTGCAATTTTAGTCTGTTATAGAGCAAATGTAAATGAGTGGCAAGAGATGCTTAGATTAGAATTAACATGGACGCATTAGAATTAACATGGACGCAGAATAAACGTGTAGTAGTACAAGCACATTTTAACAGACAACTTTGGTATAGCTGAAGTTAACATTTTTTTCTAATGAGAATTCATGACGAATGGCAGGGGTGAGATTCTTGCTGGAATTCTGAAATTTCTGAATCTTTTATCTGAAAACCGTTTTCTTTTTGGATAAAATTTCCGAAATTCTTTCCTCTATATAATACGAGGCATTTAAGTTTGTAAAAAACTGCTGGAGAGGACATGTGGCAGGAACATGGTATCAGAATTAATAGCTGGACGAGGAAATTTGTTTATCTCACCAACACAGTCTTTTATTTCTCTTTCTGTGGCTAACTGCTGTTTGATCCTTGCTTTTGTCCTCATTTGATGATGAATTGAAAAGAACTATAACTTTATGATGTGACGGCTTACATCAGGTTTCTTACCACAGCAACAACATTTACCGCACGACATTTATCACACGAGTTTTAATCGGGCCGATTTGGAGGTGCTGATCTCCGTTCGAATATTACTTAAAAACGGACAGGTTTTCGGGAGATTTTTTTTCATCAGTGAGTAGACAAAGATTTATTGTACATTAATATTCAATAGCACACCTATCCGAACGGCTTAGAAATACGCTAAATACTCAGAAACATCTTTAATATTTTTGTGCCACCGCGTATTCTTAACATTCACATTTTTTTAACAACATAACGATACTTTTGAATCGTGGATGACGAATCATTTGTCACTCGTCATAACATTAGTAATGTAACTTTCTGGACTTTTTAATGTTTAAATTACACCAATTAATACTAATGAATCCGAAACCGTTCGTCTTTTAACATCGATAATAAGACCCAATACCACCTTATACATAGTGAAGTTACTATTTCACTTGAAGTCTCAAGTTTCGTCTTTTTTCAAAAGACATCATCAGGTAAATAATGACAAAAAATATTTTCTCTCCTTTTAAGTACAGAAGAAAACGAAGCACATATCTAGAACACAAAAGAAAAGTATAACATAGTCCATTATTAAGTCGTACATGACATGATGCGTCATCAGAAAACGTTCAAAATAAAAGTTTTTTGCGAATAAATATTCCTAATTTTCTTTTTACTACACATATCCATAAGTCTCTTTTATCTCTCTTTTTATTGCGTGAGATTCAAAAGCAAGAATTCCAGCGTTCCAGTTTGTTCTATGACCAGTAGCTTGACCATAATTAGCAATGCTTGAGAATCCAACACCTCGAAAAGCATCTTTATGTCCTTGTTTTCGCTTTTCAGCTCTCGCTGTTTGTCTATTATAACTGTTTGTACATCCATAACAGTCATATTTATACACTACTCTTTTTTTTTATTTATGAAATGTTTTTCCAAATACACATGACAAGATGTGTCCTACCTTGAAACCAAAGGTTACCACTTTCATTGGATGTGAAATCAGTTTTTTCCAACTGGTGAGCGAACACTCCATAATAAAGTATAGAGAAGTAAAATTATTTTTTATTTAAAGCAGAAAGGTTTTTTTCTTTTTCAGCCTGATACCCCAAATCGTCTTTCTTACAATGTTTAATTGGATAGCCATTGAAATAGAAAATATGAGTATAATATTCTAATTTTTTTAAAATAGTTTTTTAGACGAGCAAATTCTTTTTGCATGAGTATACAGACATTTGATGAGGTTAATTTTGTAGTTTCTCGGTTGGTTACTCGTCCATTTTAAATATAGGCTAGTGTGCGTAGACTTGCGATAGACAAAGGTAATCGTTCATTACTTTTTCTCTCCACTATTACATCCACAAACGACAGTTTCGTATCTGATCGAACCTCAACTGTAAATTCAATAGAAGGATCTAAGTTATCCATCCATTTTAGAAAATTAAATAGATCTTTTTGAGTACCGTGAATAATGGCAAATATATCATCAACATATCTTAAATAAACGTCAGGTTATTACCCCGGTACTTCGCAATTTCTTTTTCAAGTTCATCCATAAACAGATTAACCACTATAGGTGCCAACGGGCTACCCATAGAAACTCCGTTGGTTTGATCATAATTTATCCCATCAAAGGTGAAATTAATTCTTTTTGTACAGTAATAGAATAATTCGCGCAAATCGGTATCATGCGAAATATCAAGTGAGAACATAAGGCCTGGCTTATTTCTGTTATGTTTTTCTTTTGTGCTTTAGACATGTACTTCTTTTTCGTCTGTGTTTAAAAGGAGAGGAAATATTTTTTGTCATCATTTACTTGATGATGTCTTTTGAAAAAAGACGAAACTTGAGACTTCAAGTGAAATAGTAACCTCACTATGTATAAGATGGTATTGGGTCTTATTATCGATTTTGAAATTCTTCACCATTAAAAAATGATTCAATCGTTCGTCTTTTCATTGCAAACATGATTCTAGATCATGACATTGACCTATTTTACTTTGCTCTTAGCCGTAAGTCAGTACATTAGAATTTTTGGCCAATATAGTCCAAACTGGGATTCATTAGATACACGTCCATTACCTCAATGGTACGACGAAGCAAAGATTGGAATCTTTATACACTGGGGTGTTTTCTCAGTTCAATCGTATAAAGAATGGTAGGTTATTTGTTGTAAAGTCATTTAACGTTTAGGACTTCACCTATGCAAAAATCTATCTCAGCAACCACAAGTCCAATATAAGCCAAACTTTCGAGAAATATTGATCATCCCACAATATGGTGTCGAAATTTTCCTTCGTTTTATCAACCGTTTACAAAATCTCGCAAAAATTCTAGTAAAAATGGAGTCTTTCGATTAGAAAATTTCTTACCGGAAGCAGAAGCTGATTTGTCTTTTCTATCGCTTCGTTACAGAGCATCTGCTGATCGGAGAATACTATTGAGGAAATCACTTCAGAGGAAAGGTAGCATCAGCGTGCTGTGTGCATCTTATGGTTTCTACTAAAAGCGTTCTCGTTCTTGATTTGATCATTGGTGAAAGTTGTTTGACCTTTCATTTTGATCAAAAAAATCCATGCTCCAAACTGACATCATTGTAATGGGATCATTCACTCGAAATTCATTATTCAAAGAATTGTTGAAAACTAATTTCAAAAACATTAAATACCGTCAAAAACAATACGGATTTTAAAATAGAGAGATATCCAACCACCTGCTTATTTCAAGATCGACTTTTGACGAAATACTGAAATTTCTGACGTAACACAGGTGGATATTTAGAATGAAAGTGAAGTAGAAATATTATACTTACTTAGGGGATTAGGGGATAACAAATGTCGACGGCTGGACTGTCATTTCTCATATTAACTCGAATTATAATTGTCCATGTCATTTCGAAAAGCATTCTGTGAAGCAATGAGCTAGTGCCTTTTGAGAAGGCGTTCAAGATACAGCCCTATAGTAAAAAGGATTTATCTCCAGAACAGACGATCATGGCGTTATATTATGGTTTGTCACATCGAACATTCTTTCGGAAAAAATCATCTTACCCCCCCTTATAGGATGATTATGTAAAAAATTTGTTTCAAACTGGTGTTCAAATATAGCGTGGTTGACTAACAGAGTTTAGAGTAGAATTTTACGAGTGAGAACATGTATAGCTATATATTGATGAAAGAGTTTTGTGAAAATTTGGATTTCAAGTGCGTGTCATAAAACCATTATTCTCGCTAAAAGCATTTTCAGAGAGAAGTGTTCAGTGTAGTGAGTTGATCCCTTATCACCTTCATTTGGTCTCGCTCAGACTGTGTCAGAATGTTCATCTATCTATAGTGTCTGTTATCGATAGAAAGTAGTTGTTTTTTTCACGTGATCAGGAGACGAGGAGCTTTCAAAGAAAAGTCTGTTTTTCTCGATGGAGGATTATTTCCTATCAGTATAAAGTTTTTTAATGTGTGATCGGCAGCTGATCGAACTGGAAATGACTGAAAATTTTTGTGAGAAAAGAAATGAAGTGACGATATGCGATAAGTGTCAAATGAAATTTGACTGATAGTTCTTTTTCATTTGTGAGTGTAGTCTGAATGGTAATCAGCAATATTAAGACAGAAAGTACTGCTACTGCTAATAAAGACGAATATTTTTGCCCGAGAAGATAAAATCTGCTTTATTATACTCTGTATGATTCGACGGCTTACTTAGACTAGGAGAGCTTTTTGAGCTTTAACAGAGGAAGATTTACGACAATCACAGCTCACCTGATAGAAAGCAACAACTGTACTGCTAGTCCTACTGTTTCCGAGCAGTTCCTTCACTACTTCAAATTTTAAGTGGTGAGCGTACTATTCCGGTACCGGGACTTACCAGAAAATATAAAGGATTTAAGGCTATGAAATCGTATGAGTTCGGTGCTGTAATTCTGTGGCTCCCCTACGTTTGTTCACTTTTCTACAATCTGTTCATTGCTTTTTCAAAAATAGCTTTAGCTTATTGATGAACCAATATACTCCGAATTTAAAAAAGTTAAATGTTTAGATTTTAGTTTAAAAAAATAGAGGAAGCATGCTTTTGAAAATTATTCTTAAAGAATTTTCATCACATTTATCTAATCAGTGGAAAAAACTCACTTCATGCTGCAGCATTTTTCAAAAAACGCTTTTTACCATTATTGAGCAGAATTATCTAGATTTCTGAAAACATTATTTATATGAGAGTTAATATTTTTTCTAACATGCGTTCTGAAAAGAACATGTCTTAAAATACTCAATACTAAATATTCTGGACCAACTTTCTTATACAATATGCTTATTACCAGAATAGTATGATAATGTAAAGTCAGAATAGTGAAGAAAACCGTACTGCGATATTGAATTCTTACTTCTTTCGAGTGTACTTTGAGTGATAATTTTATCAGTCTGTTATTATTTGTGAAGTAACCACAAACTATATAAACGATTTCTAATTCCTTTCTAGTTTCTTTTCATAGGTTCTGGTACGCCTGGAAAAAAGATAATCCGGATCCAGATGTTGTAGAGTTTATGAGAAAAAATTATCCACCAGATTTCACGTATGCCGACTTTGCTAAGGAATTTCATGCCGAATTATATGATCCAAATGAGTGGGCTGATATTTTTCAAGCATCTGGAGCAAAGTAAGATTTTTTTTAATCTCCTATTAACTATTCCATAAAGCGTGTTTAAATTTTTTGTTATCAGATACATTGTATTAACAAGCAAGGTTTGTCTGTTTTGTTCATGTTCATTTGTTTTTTAGTTCTAATATTTCACTTTGTTTTAGCATCATGAAGGCTACACAATGTGGCCATCAAAATATTCATGGAATTGGAACGCAATGGATGTTGGACCACATCGAGATTTGTTAGGTGATTTAGCAAACGCAATAAGAAACCGCACAAAAATTGTATTTGGACTCTATCATTCATTGTAAGCTAATTTCATCATTTATCGAAAAAACAGATTTACTCATTTTACGTAGAAACGTTGACGTACATACTAGTATTGTTTTGAACGTGTTCTTAAACATGTTTTTTCAGTTGTAAAAAGTTATTGTCATGCTATCTCTATGATTTGATCATTTGGAACATTATTATAGGTATGAATGGTTTCATCCTCTCTATCTTGCTGATAAGTCAAAGAGTTTCAATACGCAATTGTTTGTAAAAGTAAGTGAATCTCTATTCCGAAAGTTTTTGAATCTAAGAAAAGGGATTATTATTCATTTTTTCAGCAAAAAACTTTACCAGAACTCTATGAAATTGTGAACACATATAAACCGGAAGTGATTTGGTCAGACGGTGATTGGGGTAGGTTATTTATTACACTACAATTGTTTTTTTGACTAAACATAGCTGATATCTAACACATATCAGCTTTTTTTATATAAACTTTACTAATCATGCCATGTTTGATTATTTCAGAAGCGTCAGACACGTACTGGTAGTATAGTTTTGGTTACAAAATAAGACAAACATTTAATCCTCTATTTTTTTTTATAGGAATAGTACCAATTTCCTTGCTTGGTTATTTAACGAAAGGTACGCTTGTCTTAAATTAATTACGTGACATGAAATGACCATGCGTTCTATTTTAAATATTTAGTCCAGTCAAAGACACGGTGGTAGTTAACGATAGATGGGGTAAGTAGAGATGCATAGAATCAGAAACTTTTTTCAGACAGTAATAATTTAACGAAATAGAATTCATTTTATAGTAAATGAATGAGCACCGGGAACCGAATATCCCTAGGGAGACGAAAGCGAAAAAGTCACCGTGCTGTGGACTTACGAGGGAACCTCACCAACTGATACCCTCTGTTTGAGCTCATACTCTGCTCATAGGTAGGACTCATAGTGTAGATAAAAACTCTAAAAGGATTCATCCCCTTGACTCTTGAAGACCTGGTTTTCTGGAAAACCAGTTTTTCAGAAACTCTAAAAAATAACCAAAACCTTTTCTTAGTGAGACATGATTGTAGCCCGCACATTTCTGATTAAAATGAGACATCTCCCAGCTCTACATGACCTTTCTT